CCCCCTAAGCCAAACTACTCAGCTCTCATCATCCTCAGCTCTCTCTCTTTCTCACACCACACCCAGCGCCGTACGGCAGCGCCGGAACTTGATCTCGCCCAGCGCCTTAGTGAGCACGTCCGCCGCCATGTGCTCCGTTGCGCAGTAGCCCAGCTCCACTTCGCCACGCGCCACACGCTCTCGCACCAGGTGGTGGTGCACGTCGATGTGCTTAGAGCGCACCGACGTAATGGGGTTGTTCGCAAGGCTGAGGGCGCCCTGCGAGTCGACCATGATGGCAATGGTTTTGCGTGGCAGTCGCAGGTCTCCAGTCAGGTGGCGCAACCAGAGTGCCTCGCGCACTGCTGCTGCTGCTGCCTGATACTCCGCCTCGACTGACGATGCTGCCACAGTGCGCTGCAGCTGGCTGCTCCAGCTGACGGCTGCGCCACCGAGGAGGAAGACGTAGCCCGTAGTGGACCGGCGAGTAGCAGGGTCGCCAGCCCAGTCAGAGTCACTGAAGCCAGTGAAGCCGCTGATGTCGCCGCCACCGCCGTAGCGTAGGCCGAGCCGCCGGGTGCCAGACAGGTAGCGCAGCACGCCCAGCGCCAGGTTCATGTGTGTCTTCGTGGGAGACGCCATGTGCCGCGCAAGCATGCTCAGGGCCTGGGAAATGTCGGGCCGGGTGCTGGTCGCCAAGTAGTTCAGCTCACCGACCAGAGCACGATACGGGGTGCCATCCTCCAGCGCCGGCTGTCCTTCACCGGCTGGCACCAGCCGCGTGCCCTCAGGCATGGGAGTGGGACGCGGCTTAGCATCAGACAGGCCGTGCCGCTGCAGCAACTGCTCCACATAGTGCCGCTGCGAAAGCATGATGCTCCCCGTACTCGAGTCCCGCGTAATCTCCATGCCTAGGTATACACCCGCCTCGCCCAGGTCCCTCACCGCAAAGCAGCCAGCGATCTCCGTCTTGGCGGCCTTAAGCTGCGCCAGGTTGGACGCCACCACCAGCAAGTCATCCACATGCACCAGCAGGTAGACGGGGCCAGCGGGGTCATCACGGATGAACAGCGCGGGATCTGACATTGACGGCAAGAAGCCCAGGCGTCCGAGCTCTGCAGACAGCTTCTTGTACCAGCAGCGGGGTGCCTGCTTGAGGCCGTAGATCGACTTGCGTAGCCGGCAAGCCATATCAGGGCTGCCTAAGCTGTAGCCCGGCGGCTGCTGCATCCAGATCTCCTCCTCCAGCTCGCCGTTCAGGAACGCCGTCTTCACATCCATTTGATGAATGTGCATCTGCTTGGCTGCCGCAAGCGCCAGCAGGGCACGCAGCGAGGCTGTGCGGGTGGTGGGTGCAAACAGCTCACCGTAGTCGATGCCCGCTCGCTGCTCGAAGCCCTTCGCCACCAGCCGTGCCTTGTAGCGCTCAATGCTGTCATCAGGTGCCATCTTGACCTTGTACACCCAGCGGCAAGCCAGCAGGCGAGTGCCGGGGGGAGGAACCGCCAGCTCCCACGTGCGATTCTCCAGATGCGCTGCGATCTCCTCGCTCCTGGCGTCGTTCCATTTGGCTGCGTCGGGGCCGCTCAGCGCCTCCTCATCAGTCCGCGGCTCCAGGGCACTGCTAGTCGTGGGGCGCGGTAGCGGTGGAACTGCCTGGGTGGATGATACGCCGCCGCCGCCGCTGCCGCCGCCACGCACGGAGGCCAATGGGGGTGTGAGCGGTTGACGTTGGCTACGGGTGACAGGCCTGTGCACGCCGCTGCCAGTGCCGCCGCTGCCGCCATCTCCAGAGCTGCCGCCGCCGCTGCTGCCGCCATCGCCAGAGCTGCCGCTGCCGCCGCCACTGCCAGAGCTGCCGCCGCCGCCGCCGACACTGCTGTCGCCACCACCATCACCACGACCAGCGACAGGCAAAGGGTCGAAGAGCGTGCCGGGCTTCCTGGACGCGGGCCCCCGAACCGCTTCGTCGAAGGTGACGTCACGGCTGATGACGACCTTGCCGTGAACCAGGATGCGGTGGGCAGCTGTGTGGCGCTCGGGCCCCAGATATGTACCTTCCTCTGCACGGGGATCGAGCTTCTTCAGCTGTTCAGTAGGGACGCGGACGAAGGCGCGGCAGCCGAAGACATGGAGGTCCGAGATGTCCGGCTTCTGGTCGTGGAAGGCTTCCCACGGAGTGACGGCGCGGCCAGCAGAGGGCCCCGGGTATGCTCGTCCAAATTCACAGTTGCGCGCGGAGCCGCGGACCCGAGCTATTCCGGTCGCTAAACGCCACAATCGCGATACCAAACGAAACCCTCAATTTGTCCTAATGTTACGTAGAAGTTTAGGAGGGTGCGTGGTGAGTTGGCCGGCCGCCGGAGCGTCCGCGGCCGGTCGCGAGACCGGAGGACGAGCAGTACGGCGCCAGTCCGCGCGCACCGGGGATGTAAGGTTCGGATAAGTTGCGTCGCGATGTGTTACGCATTGTGGATAGCAGCGACCCGATGAGCATTGATGGACACGATTTCGGACTAAAATACTGCCTCTCGACGTAAGGGAAGTCAGATGCCCCTTACTATGGGTACGCATAACAGGTACGTCATGTTGTTTAGTAAACTGCCGCCTGCACGTAGTGCCAGAGCTCCGTGTGCTTTTCCTGAGTCAGGCAGGGGACAGCAAGGAGGATAGTGCATACGATACAGTTGCGGCGGATTGGATTGGTTGGAGTAGCAGGTTGGGAGGTAGGTAGGAGAGGCCAAGTGGCGAGGGAAGGAGCAGGTGAGATAAGGGATTGGGCGGGGTTGAGCATTGAATGGACCTAGAGGAGGAGTAAGGCTATCTGTGGCATGCGTCTGCATAAAGGAATGGGGTGCTCTTCCATGCACAAGGCTTTACCTTCTCGTATAGCTCTTTGAAGAGGTGCTTGATGATGCCTCCAACCGCACCACCCGCCTCCGCAGGCGGAACCGCGGGTGCCTCCTTCTCCGCGGCTTTATGACCCTCGTGGGCTGACCCATGGGTCTGCCCCGTCACCAGCTTGTTTATTGCCATGAAGATCATCCACTGCGTTAGCAGGAGGGGGCCGGCAGGTTCAGAGATCGCAGCTTATGAAGTAGATGGGAGGACAGGTGGTGAGGCACTCTGGTGGTATCCCCGAATTGTCCGACCAAGCGACTGGAGGCTACTAGAACGACAGCTGCGATTGCCCTGCACCTGACCCATGGGTCGCTAATCCTCCGCACGCACCTGCGTGTAGTCACCAGCTTGGACCAGTCCGCCTTCCCTTTGGCCTCCTCCTCCTCCTTGCCAGGGTTCGCCACAGTCGCTGTCTTAGCATGATCCGCCTTCTCGCGCTCCTCCTGCTGCTTGATTACCTCAATCATCAGCTGGGCAATAGCTGGCGTCTGCGAAGAGCACACAAAATCCTCAAGGTGGGCAACCCTGCTCAATACCGGTAGCTCTCCGAACCAACATGACACTCAGTATACAAGCCATACAAGCCCTGTCTGGAGGACAACACCCTTCCCGAGGCATACCGAAGCAAAATGGACGGTCGACGGTGGCATGCAAGGCCACAGGGGGGGTCACACAACCGGTTTGGGTGCACGCATCGCATTGGAAGAAGCGGAGTGAACCGTACTGTTACCATCACCTGATGGCCGTACGCTGCATCCGTACATAGAAGGCGGTAGCGGTAAGAGGCAGTCGATTTTATTGACAATTTACCGGTGCATACACAGACAGCTGAGTCAGCAGGTGTACTGGTATGCCGGGCGAGCGGAGAGCCAGGATGATGATGCAACGTTTTGGTGCTGCAGCTGGCTGCAGTCTTATTTGTTATGACGGAAGGTGCAGGCTGTTTTGTCTTGACTGAAGATGGTAAGGGGCTGAGGGCTTTGGACAGTAAGCGTAGTAAACTAGTAATGCGGCTAGGCATATGTAGGCACTTCTTTCGTGAGCCGTACACATGTCATTGGCGCTGACGCAATCGCCTGTGCCTGCAGCCTGCTGCAGCCTGGCATCAGCTCACTTCATGCGGCGGATACCTTCCATGTTCCAAACCCTCTACTCAACACCGGTGAAGTGATAAACGTCTCCCCGCGCTGCATGACCGGTATTGTAATGCAGCAAAATTGTAGCAACTACCGGTACCGTGGTGTAAAACTATCACATGCCGCCCTTCAACAATTTTTTGATACCAGTGCATGATTGCGATGGTATGAAGCATGCAAGTCAAGTTGTCCATTCCGAATTCGAAGCACTTTCCTACAACCTCCCCTCACACCGGTTTGCATTTTCCCTGCCCGGAAAAGCACACCCTCGCCTCATGCCATCCAGATGGGAGGCAGTTCCGGAGCCGCCGCAGCTCCCAGCTGCTGTAGCGTGTGTACGGCATTCGCATGCGAAACCTTCCGTACAATACGGCCATCTCGGATTGTGAGCGTGGTGACGCCCTTGACCAGCAAGCGGGCTCCGGAGGCGGGCACTCCTAGCAGGGGACTGCTGCCAGGAGCGGAGTGTGTGCCCTGGACAATGTCATTCGTGCCATAGACGAGAAGGGAAGAGTTAGGCCGGCGATTAACGTAGGGCGCTAGGGCGTTTCCAAGTCAGGAAAGGAGCATGACAGGAAAAGACATAACATTACACGCAAGACAACCACCGCTGCGCACCACGAACGTGGAGGGCGTACCAGTACGTGCACAGCATTTGACCTACCCGAATGACCCAACGGAAGGTGACCTTGTCGCAGCCCACAGCCGCAAACAGCTCGTGTCCAATGGCCAGATCAGGCAAGCTGTCACGCCAGCCGCCCATCATGGCCTCCATGGCGGTACGACCGCGTCTGTCGTACGGCACAATGGTGTATGTCGTACCCAGTGAGCACGGGACAGCAAATGCACAAGTACATAAGCATTCCTATTTATTACAAGGGTACCTAGCGTGCATCGGAAAGCAGCAGGGGGACAGAACCGGGGCCTCGATGTTATTGAGCCAAGGATATGGTAGGATGGCCCACGCTGCCGTACATACCGTACCTGTCACCCAGATCAAGTAAGCCGTCGTACTGGTATTCAGGATGTACGATATGATCCAGCACCTTATATCGACCTGCGCGGGTTCGCGTTGTCTTCAACAAGCAACGTGCTAGCGCATGTTTGGGTCGACAAGACAACATTAACCTGAGTATCGCATGTTGTTGTTGCCCGACATGCCTAGTTTGGTTTCCTACTTTCGTTCCTTGCTTTAGAAGGCGGATGCTGTACCCTCGTGCTGCACCCTCGTCCTGCACCCTCACATGCGTTTTATGTGATTGGGTAACGCTTCTCCTGAAGCTTGCGGCAGACACGAAGCCGCAATCGACAGACCCAACCTACGTACTGCAGCCACACCCACCCGTGTTGTAAGTGTGGAAGTAAAGCTCAACCACAGCCCGGTTAGCCGCCTGAACCCCCGCCAGCGCCGCCTCTGCCTCTGCCCCCTCCTCAGGCGTCCCTGCCGACAGCCGCCATGCTGCCGCTGCCGCCTCTGCTGCAGCCGCCACCGCAGCACCAGCAGCCTGCACCGCCTCTTCCTCCGTCGCAAACGCAGCCCTCGCCTCAGCCGCTGTCTGCGCCGCCGTGTCCCCAAACTCAGGCGCCAGGGCGCTAGTGCCGCCGCCGAAACCATTGCCCAAACAGGATACGTCGGCGTGTTGCTTGGAAGCGGGTCGGGCAAGCTGCTGCGCACCCTCCTGATACTCCTCCGCAATCCCAGCCGCCTCGCATGATCCCGCCAGGCTCACCTGCTGTTGCCTGTGCGGTTTCCGCTGCTGCTCCTGTCCTTGCTGTTGTTGCTGTTGTTGTTGCCAACCGAGTTGCTTGAAGAGGAAGATGGGGTCCCAAGACCACCAGACCTCCACCGTCCGGGTAGGGCATGCTGCTAAGCCTTGTTGCTCTTGCAACCTGGCATGGGGCGCCAGCCCTTCCGGCTGCTGCTGCTGTGGCTGTGGCTGCTGCTGTGGCTTCGGGTGCCGTGGCTGTGGCTGCTGTTGCTGCTGCTGTTGCTCAGCCGCCCCCGCGACGCGAATGAGCACGCTGCCCTCCCAGGTGACTCGAGCACCGGTGGGGGGCAGGGGGGGCCCCAGCGCCCCGGCGTGGGTGCCTGCGCGTTGGGTTGGTTGCGGAGGGCGTCATGGTGGTGGGGAAGAGCGGTGGGAAGCCGCATACGGTGGCGACTACCGGTACTTCATGCATACAACTCTCCTACCCCTCCTTGATCTTCCTGTAAATATCCGAATAGGCATTTCCCTTCCCGCTAATCCCGCCTTCCTGCCCGCCAGACCGCCCGTTCTTTGGGTCCAGCGCCCAGAACCACCCATCGGCCTTTCCTCATCAAATTACCTTTCCCTGCCTGCTGCAACAACATGCAACCCCTGCATGCCTGCAACCTCCCCGTCCCCACTAAGGCTTCGAGGCCACCCACCACTGGTGGTCCAGTACCCCAGCAGCACGCCGCCCTCCGCCACGTGCAACGGTGTCAGCAGGCGGAGGTGTAGGTCCGGCAGGGCCCCGGTGAGCACCCGGCGGAGGGACTGGGCGGCAGGGAGGGGCCGGTTAGGGGCCCGGGAGGGGAGTGGGAGGCGAGGAGAGAGGTGAAGAATCAGCACGGTGGGTACCGGTATATGGGATGGAAAGTTTCGTGCCTCAAACCCAAACTCTGCCACCCCGCAATCAGCACCTCAAATCGTTTCCCCGTTTCTCTTCACCTGCAGTTGCTCCAGTCCCGCTAGAGCTTGATCAGGAAACAGCGAGTCGTGCCATAGGAGCTGCAGCGGGAGACGGGAATGGGCAGGCTGGGAAGACAGGATGTGCGCGGGTTTCAGGAATGTAGGTTCACTGAGGATTGGAGAGTGAACCACGGGTCAATGGCCTTCCCTCATCCCTGCTGGGGTCAACGAAAGAGGAATCTTCATGTAAACCAGTCGGCACGGAATCCGCCAAAGTATGTCGCTACCTGGAAATCACCGGAGCAGAGGAACTCGCACAGCGTTGCTGTATCGTCGGCCGTCCAAAAGCGCTCAAGGGCAGTCGCGACTTTACCGGCGCGCAAGCCGTCGGTGTGGGTAGCAAGGGCATCCATCCCTCCTGCACCCGCACAAACAGCATGGAGGTGTGAGGACAATGCTTGCAGCTGACTTGCATTGTGTGTTAGGTAGGGTAGTAGAAATTACTGCTGCTGCAGCCAAGGCGGTCGCAGTCGCTCGCCGGCGCGCCTAAGAAGCAAATGATGAATTTCTGGACTACTGCCCTAGCTATGATAATAAGGATAATGCCCGGATAATGCCCGCTTGGTACCTGAACAATGTGCGGAACTGTAGCTCGGTCGGCAGCTGCTACCAGTAGCCTAGTTCAACAATCTTAGCGGCAGAAATTGGGCTGGCAGGAGCTAGCAAACCTTCTTATTATGATAATCTTACTCATGATATTTACCGGGTATGAGGCAATGAGGGTAGTATCCTATATGCCAGCACCATAGCCGGTGTAGTTCTTTGGTACGCGAACCCTGATCGGGCGTCGCCGTACACACGAGCTGTAGTTATAGCTCTCTCAACGGATAAGATGTTAGGTTGGGCCTAGATTGGGCCCTATGGGCTAGCGCACGCCTCGCATTCAACGTTTGCGCAAAAAAACAATGAATGCATCCCTTTAGTCGCTGCTAAGAGTCCATCGCCACGCGGAGGCGTGGACGAAGCGACTGATAAGCCCTCGCGTCGCTTGAACTTCTGCAGGGGCCACTGACAATCCACACGCAAACCGCTGGACATTTTTTGCCCTACTTCATTACTACGACCCAAATAACTATTTGACATGTGACCCGGAGGCTTGTCTGGTAACTTGAAGACACACTTGCCCACATTAGAGCGTAAATGTTATCCTTCACCGGGTGTTCCTTCGGTCTTCCACAAGCGCATGGGAAATATAACGATGTCATTAAGGGCACTAACCACGACTACGGGTAACCTTGCAGATGAGCACTGGTGTTGCAACCATGGTTTCTACAAGAGCTGTTCACTTTATGCACCAAAACCATTGTAGGGCCATGGCTGCATGCTTCCTTCGGATCTCTACGTATGTGTTGTTATTGTGCTAGGACAGCCCAATCATCCCCTCCGTCCGGCAAGCCAGCCCTTCCCTACCCAGTTTGCATCACGTACACTTTGCCTTTATGTTTCCGAAACCGTTTCCCTGTCACCGTCCACACGCGCAACGCGCAGGCTCTTAGCGCTTACGCGTCCCTAACAGCAGCGCTGGCTCAAAGGTTTACCCAAGCAATGGACATACGTTGCAGGACTTTGTGTTTTCTCTACTGTCGTCAATGCAGGATTACTGAAGGACAGAATGTAAGGCGCACGACTGCACGGACCTCTCCAAGCCGTAAAGTTTCACATACTTTGCAAAAATATGAACACAAATTGCAATAACAGTACGTAGGAGTATCCAAACAAAAACTGTGGTGCGCAGCATGATACAGGTGGCCAACAAACTTCAGGTGGTGCAGGCAGTACAGGTACAGCCGCCGTCCGCTGTTTCCGCAAACCCGTCCCACCTGTACACAAGTGTTATGGATACTCACTGCTTACCAAATTGCCAATTCATACTCAATTGTACCGACCTATGAATTTCCCAGCGATGCCCGCGTGACTTCTTGTCCTCAGCAAGGACATAGCTGCTCGCTATGGCTTTGCCGCTTATGTTATTTTCATGATGGTGTAAGCGTAGGGATTTTAGGTTAGGCAACTTGGCATTTTATCGTTTCGGGCGTGCGGACACCGCAGCTTACGCGTGGTAAAATGGGTGAGAATATTTCAGTGCAACCAGTTTCGCTGAGGAGGGCTGTGCTGGCGAAGTCACCTACACCGCGTGAGGTGGGACATCAGGGGCGCGGTCCAAATGCTCTTACCAATGCCAGGAGGGAACTCTCGGATTACAGTGGTGCTGGTCTTCCTTGTCGTGCAAAGTGTCCCCTGTTTTTTATCTGGTAGCTGAAGGGTGCTGACTCATCCGGTCCTTGTCCTCCACTCTTCCTTTGGGGCAGATGTCCACTCTCTTGAACAATAAATGCTATCGCGCATGGAGTGAAGCCTCTACTATGCTCATATCCACGACTATTAAGGAGGGCGAGCACGAAGGCGAGGAGGATGACATGCTGATGAGCTCCTGCAGCAATGCCGGCCATGAGCCTTCCCGGTTCAGTTCTCACGACCTTGGCAGCGATGATGCAATCGACGTCCCGCACGACCGCGACCATAGGGTTTCGCAGGTCGCATCTGGCGCAATGGCTTCGGTCGCCGCTGCTACCTCCAAGCTCTTCTGCCGCCTTCTACACCATCACAACAGTAACGTTCATCAACACACCTCCTGCGCTTCCACACCACGTCGTGCCACCGAACCCTCCGCCGGAACCCTAGAGGCAGTGGAATCCTACCCAGCACGTTGGCAATGTGTCTCCAGCACCTCCCTGTCCTCACGTCGTTTAAGCTCAAAGGCAGCCCGTCGTGATTCCATGAAGCGCCTTGCAAGTCACAGCAGCCCAGTGTGCTGCGGTGAGGGCTGCGATCCTAACCCCCAGCAGGCGCCTCCGCAGCCTCGCGGTCACCTAGTGCGGCTCATGGATGACGAAGATGCCTTCATGGCCACACATGCTTTGGAGCTGGCAGCTCAAATCCACGATCAGTTATGGGGCCGCGGAGCGCAAAGCGCGCATCTTGACCCACATCGCCGGGAGATGCTGCTGCGTGCCGTACGCCCCTTGTACGACGAAGCAATGGCTGCCGTACGTGCCATTCAGCACCGCGCCCTGCATTCGCTAGTGAAACAGGCTGTACAACAGTACGTCAATCCGCAGTTGGGCTCACCAGACGACGTGCTGCGAATTATCCTGGAGCTTCTGACGGGCTGCGGCACCTTTGCGGCGCCAGCGGGGCCGGGTGGCGGCAGTGGCAGCAGCGGGCACCGCAATGACGGCTCCCTTAGCGGCGGGGCGCGCTGCAATAGCGGTGGCGGCAGCGGCAACAACAACAAAGGACCTGCAGCGCAGGGAGGCGCTGGGTCTCTGCCTAGGGGCCATGTTGGGAGTGGCAGCAGCGGTGGTGGTTGCTGCAGTTGTGACGGTGAGGAGTCTCCCGGCGGGGGATCTGGGCCGAGTGGCAGCAGCAGCGGTAGCGGCAGCAGCAGTGGCAGCAGCAGCAGCCGCTTGCGGCCCGGAAGCGGAGGTAGCGCTAAGCGCTTGCTGCAGGCTTTCGGCATCTTCAAGTCTTGAATGTTGTCATTTTGGCTAGCTACCCCATACGGGTAGGATCGGGTTTTGTTGGCACATGGCTCGTGACCAGTTCCGACTCGCGGCCAGTTTTGTTCACGTATGTTTGTTGTTTAAGTGAATGACCGTTTCAATGGTTCTCTAAAAGGGAACACGGGTGTTGTTAATTTTGGGGTCGCCCTCCTTATGTACTTCAATGGGCGGTGGACTACCATTACCCTAGTATGCGTGCCTCGTATCCTTGGGACCCATAATAACAGGACTACTACAGGTGCTTCATGAAAAGCCGTACGGGGCGCTTCTTGTATAAGCTAAGTAGCACTAAAAAGCGGATGGGATGGGTGATGATGAGGCGCACGCGCGCGTTTTGTGTTGCTTGTATGGCTGTTTTCATCGGCCTCGGTGTTAGTTTGGGCGAACTGGCATTCTCGTCGCCTGTTGTAGGCGCAGGACTGCTGTGTAGTAGTATGTGGAGAAGTGTGGCGCAGATGCAAGGCCGCCCTGATGCGGCTTCTGGGCGGTCACCCCTGAAACATTCCTTTAGCGGGATCTTGTCGCAGTCGTTCCTTCGGCTGTCACTCCGTTTAGTACGTTGCCCGGCCGCTGTTCGTGCCTTTGCAACGGACCCGCCTTCCCGGCGGACACCTTGCGCAGCAGTGGCCTGTGCCACAAAACACCCTTTATCCTCTGAAAAGCGAGCCGTATCGTGGTATATGGCTACCGTGTCATTATGTATGGCTATGGTGAATTGTTGTGACCGAGTTTGGCCGTATTCGTGTGGCATGCTAATGCTGTCCGGTGTTAACTTGTTCACGGTGGGTAAGCCCCGCCAACACTGCTCACCTAACCTCCCAAGGAGGACTGTACCTAGTCACATGTCACATGGAACGTGTTGGCGACTGCGTAAGCGAGCCCATGTCACTCACTCAGGTATACGGCTGGTGTGTCGAAGCGTGTCCTTGACGGATGCGGCTGGCTATTGCCTGATTTGGTTAACGCAAGGTTTGTTTGTGTGTACCGTCTGTTCCTCTCTGCTCTTCTTTCGTGATATCCGATATGCGGAAGCACTGGGGTGTTTCTTTCCTGTAAAGGGGCTTGGTTGAGGCCATGTTTTTGGTCGTATCGTTGTGGCTTTTGGCTGGTGGCAACATAACAAGATTGCAAGGTCGGGAGTGTTTCCTGCTGTGGTGGACCGTGGGGTGGGGTGTCGCCATGCGAGTACCCACTTGTTGGTCTGCATGGTCTGGTGCAATGTGTTTGACCGCAATCGAGTTGGTGTGGCGGGGGGCTCGTGCGAGTCGGCGGCTGCTTTTCTTTCATTCTTGGTCTTTCCTCTGCCTTCAGGAGTGAGTGACAGGGAATGCAAGTATCGTGGCTGTGGCTTTGGGCAACTCGTCGTGCTTGTTAAGAGGGATGAGGGTCAGCATGTGCCTGCATTGTCTAGGGGGTGTTGTCGCGTGTTTTGAGTTGATTGGGGCGGTAAGCTAGCACATCCTGCCGCATACTGCGTACTTGCGTGTCTGACGATGCCAGAGACGAACATCCCGGAGGGAGTGGTCTCTCTTTTTATTAATTGCTTTCTTATTGACCCATGGGTCCCATCACCGCTTCTGTATCTTTACGGTTGCCAGATGGGCCCGTTAGGCCTGCCACCAACACGTGGGTGCGTCCAAGGGATGTGCGTTTGTGAAGCTAGTGAGATGCGTCTTGAATGTGCGCCAAAGCTGCTGGTTAGATGCCCCTAGTACTAGGGTTTGTGAGGGGACCATGAAAGAACGGGGCGTGCGGTGGCAATCGGTAGGCAAGTGGCAGCTTCTCCCGATGTTGGTGAAGATACCTATGTGGGCTAGCGCATGCGGCAGTCTGTGGCCAATTGGCTGCTTGCCCATGCATAACGCGCTTCCAACGTCATGTTTGGTCGGTGTTTGCCGCGCGGGTAGGATTGCCTCTGCAGCAGGGTGTCTCCGTTTGTCAGTTTGTAGGTCGTTGACATGGCGTTGTGCTGTGGTCTGATGGCCAGGCCTGGAGCATGGGACAACGTTAGACCTACAGCGGCAACTTGGGCCATGTTGGGTGTATGATGAAGAAAGGCAGGGGGGCGAGAGGAAATGTGGTGGCGGGGCAGCGGGAAAAAGAAGAATGGGGCAATGGGTGGGGTGGGTGGCGAGGCCTGCTGCTGCAGCTCGGGCTGTTTTTTTGCTGTATTGTCACCTCCCATGTTGCCATGTATCGGTATGCGAGTTGGCGGCGTTCTGCGGTAAAACAGTGTGTGTAGTTGTGTGTATGTGTGTGTGTTGTGGTGGTCTGGTCGCTGTACTTGTGCTGAGTATTTCAGCTGTGACTGAGCGGAGGAGCAGTGTGCTCCTTGGTTGAGGCACGAAACTGGCGTTCTTGAGGGGCGTTGTTGACAAACCATACCAGCGATTTTTGGTGCTTTATTCCACTGCTGGCGTTAGTTGTTGACCCCCTGGACATGTTCTGTTGACGATGACTTTTTGTGTGGCGTTGTGTTAGTTACCGTAAGCATAGCTGGATCCTAATACTGGTAACACTGCTGAGCTTCTGCGACGCTTCAGTTGCGAAGGAAAACTAAACCCTTTTGAACGCTACCCTTGCTTCTGTTGCATGTGTGCAGACCCCCTTCGAGTGAGAGCATGTCTGCATGCGGCAGAGTGGGGGCGCTGCGAGCCCTGCAGCTGCGGCCCTTGGCGGCTTGCATCCTGCTTGAATGGTCTGTGAAGTTGTCGTGGCTTGTGTACTTTTGAAGAGGCTGGAGGTTGTGGGTGAAGGGGATTTGACCTCTTTGGCTTGGCTGTCACGGCTGGTGGGGAGGTTCTACTGTTTTTTGTGACGACGCTCACCAACGCATGCCTTGGTAGGAGGCAGCTGCTGGTGGTGAGAGGAGGGATGACCGGCTTTGCAGTTTGCACTGCTTCCGCATAATGAACATTTAGACGATGTGCCAGTATGTGCCCATGTGTACAGGCGTTGCGGCATTATAAAATAACTTTACCTTGTATCCCCTTGATAGTGCTCCTGGTCACAAATCGAGTCGTTGTTTGCTTGCTTGAGGTGGCAGAGGACTGTTTCCGATAGGACTGTTTGAGTTGCTTGCGTCCATGGACGTCATATGTATTGTATCCGATTGGCAGTGCGCGGAACATGCGCCGTTCGTTGTTGTTTGCATGTAAGGAATAACGGGTGATATCCACGCCACAGGATTGCATCCCTAGCATGCCCGGCTTGCCCGTCTCAATGCCGAGGTCTTAGTAGCTGTACAGTGAGATGAACAACCGGTTTATCAGAAGCTATGCCATGCATATAGACTGCATGCATAGTTAGCAGCGCGATAGGAGCAGTGGGACACATCGCCATACACATGCCGTACAAAGTAAAGGTTACAAGCTTATTACTTTTACCTTTCCCCCTTCTTCGTGAAACCGCAACTTCAGCACCGCACAACCAACTCAAGAGGAAACGGAGTAACAAAAACTCAACAAGACAACACGGCCAACATGACCAGTTGTACGGCATACAGTTCGCCTCCATGTAGCGGCAAAAGGGCCTCAAGGCCTTCACCGAACACCTCCTGATTCTTGTACGGCCTCCCGGGAGAAAGAAACAACCCGCCCAACCCTCCTCTTCAATTGCACCATGTCCTTTGCATCAACAGTCTTCACAGAGCTGTCAGCTTGCTCCTACAAGCACTTGACGCATCCGGGCACAAAAGGTGAGGCCACAAGGATTTTTGCAGGGGAGCCACAAAGCATCAACATGTGTTGCCATTGTACGACACAGTACAGCGTACAACAGTTTGGGCGCGTTCTCTTCAAAATAGGAAAATACGGGAAAAAAATACGGGCATATATATTATCCGTTTATGTTCCTGGAGCGAGGTGTTTTGTTCGGAATGAAATATATGGCACTGTAAGGAAGTAGACGAAGACGAACAGCGACACTGTTCGACATCCACAGTAAAACCCAACTCGTACAAAGGGCACGACTGGTGCGGCTTTCAAGCATGGCCCCTTCCCCAAACCAACCAATGCGGCCTCCTTTCCACTGCTTAAGAGGTGTCTAGGTGTGGTACATTCTAAACAGTCCCTCCGAGTCTACGACTCCGCCATACCATTAGAACCGCGCTACGTTTCTGGTCTCTCCTGCCAAACGCACATTGCACACAAACAAACGTATATATATACGCACAATCGCACACACATCGCACGACCTCCTCCATCATGACTCACCACATACCACCACACTCCAAAGGCCTATCCTACTCCTTATTCCCCCCTAGCAGTGGCTCCATTAAACCCCGACCACCCCGCCTTCTCCCCTCTCCCTCCTCCACATCCCGCTCTCCCTCCTCTTCCTCCACGCCCTTCTCCTTCCCGCCCGCTCTCCCTCCCCTAGCAACCTTACCCCCATCCCCACCCGCACCAACCCCACCCTGCCTCCCAGCCTGCTCCCCTACCCTTACATCCCCAGCCTCACCCCCTGCCCCTGCCGCACCTCCTGCCCCTGCCGTAACCCCTGCCGCACCCCCCGCCCCCACCCCAGCCACCACCATCTCCCCAGGTTCCGGCAACGTGAGTGTGACCCCGATGGCCACCGCCGTCATGCCTGCCGCCAGGTACCACACCAGTGCGGGCGAGAGGGGCAGGCGGGGCTCGGAGCTGGAGGTGGCGCGGAACACGGAGGCGTACAGCAGCGGACCCAGACCCGAGGCCATGGAGCTGATGGCCTGGCGGTGGGGGTGGGGTGAGGAGGGGGAAGGCGACGGAGGGTAAAGAGGAAACAACTAACTGAACGTGTGGGAAGGCGTCATCATGGTTTGCAACATGTGAGCCACCCCGACCCGCCCAGACAGAGGAAGGGAGAGGAGAGGAGGGATGGGAAGAGGGAAAGAAGATAGGCGGAAACGCGTGTTGCTAACAATGCTTGCAGCGCTTGGTAAGAGGCGAGAGGAGGTTAGAGGGAAGGGGAAGGGTATGGCGAGGTGTGCTACCTTCGGGCAGGGGCGGGCCCCACCCCCGCTCCCCCCCCCAATCCACCCCTCCACTCCCTCCTCCTTCCCGCCCCCCCCCACCTGCAGCGCCCCAAACACCGCCCCCTGCTGTTCCGGCGCCACCCCCGCCGTCTGCAGCGCCACCAGCGCCGGCCAGCACACGGAGGCCAGGCAGCCCAGCGACACCGCCCCCAGCGCCGCCGCCTTGGAGGGGGCGGCCGCCAGCGCCAGGCACTCCGCTGCGTAGGCGGCTAGGCCGCACGCCAGCAGCCGCCGCTCGCCCAGGTACCGTACCAGCAGGGCCAGCAGGCCCAGTTTGACCAGCAGGCCGCCGGAGGCGAGGACGGAGAGCACGTGGGCCTGATGTAGGGTGGAGGGGGCGGGACGGGGAGGAGGCGAGTGGGAGGGTTATGATAGGCTGGAGTGCGGGACCAGGAGGAGGAAGAAAGGGAACAAGGCTGGGAGGGTACAACGAAGGAAGGGAGGGTGCGCATTGTTGAGGACGCGATTCGGTTTCTCCGTTGTCCATGCCCTCATGTCTTTCTACTCCTCGCCTCGTCTTCCCTCTCCACAGCCATACATTACATAAACTACTCAGTATTACATTAACCCACCTGTCACACCTGTCACATGGTTAGCTTTTGGTTTCTTTCCCTCTTCCGCCACCTACCCCGCCTGTCACATGGTTCCCCCCCATGCCTCACCTGGTCGCGCGTGTCGAACCCCAGCCTGAGTTGCAGGTACTGCATCAGCAGCTCCCCGGCGCCCTCCCACGTCATGGACACCACCACCCAGATCAGCGCGATGCGCAGGTAGAAGTGCGAGCGACGGATGACAGCCCAGCCGCTGCCCAGCCCGCTTAGGGGAGACGAAGGCAAGGAGGCTTGCTGCTGCTGCTGGTGGGGCTGCTGCCTGCACTCTTCCCGCTTCACCGCGCTATTGGCTATGACAGCTCCTGTGTCCTTGTCCGCGCCCTCATCGGTGGAGGATTTACTGCAGGTCATTCCAAAGCCGTCTGTGACGGGTTCTTGCCCCTGCTGCCGACCCATGGGTCGTTCCTGTACATGAGCACACACGTCGTGGGCAGACACGGCTTCGGCAGCCTCCGCTGCGGCTACTGCTGAGACCGGCAGCTGGGAGGAGGCTGCGGCGGCCCCGCTGATGATCAGGTGTTGTTGCGCAGAGAGGAGGGTCACGTCCTCTGCCGCTGCCAGCGTTGAAGGCGGCGGTTGATGTACTTGCATTACCGGAAATACGGTTGAAGTTACGTCTAGTGCCGTACAGTCTGCGGCATCTGAAACTGCTGGTTCTGATCCGCTAGCAGCGGCCTTGCCAGTTGCGGAGGCGGCGGCAGCAGCAGCAGCAGCAGCGGCACGCCGAGCCAGAGGTCCGGGGGCGCATTCCGGTACGAATGCAGCTACGTACAGCAATGTGGCTGCCGTACACCCCATGCATGTCCAAAGGGCGGCTGTAACGGACATGTAACCACCCAGCAGGGGCCCTAGCAGCATGCCGAGCGAGAAGCAGGAGGTGAGGTAGCCGACGGCGGTGGCCCTGGGGAGAAGAAGGGGGAGGTTGGAGGGGCGGGAGGAAAGGTACTGGCATCAGAAACACACACAGCGGGAATGCTTAGGAGGTCCGCAAGGGAAGCCGTGGTGCAGGAGATGGGCAAGAATCATGGGACGGCAAGAGAGCAACCTGCGTTACCGGTATGTTATTGGGTGATGCACGGAATGAGGCGTGGCACGTTGGGGGAGAAGGTGTTGAAGGGCTGCATTGATGAGTCAGATTCTGGCACGTTGGGGGGGAAGGTGTTGAAGGGCTGCATTGATGAGTCAGATTCTTAGGTGGGCTGGGAGCAACCCGCCAGTATAATCGTACGCACCTGTGCTTCTGCTCCAGGAGATCGGCCACGGAGGTAAGCGCCATGGTGAAAGAGGAGACGAGGCCGCCAGCAGCAGAAGCAGGATAATACCTGGTACGGGCATGAAAAAATGCGACAGTAAGGTAGCCAGGTTGGTTATACCGTTAAGAATCGTTCCAAGTATAGTGCTTACCAGTATATGGGGACAACCCCGTGTAGGTGCAGCTGGATTACTGCCAATGGTAGGAACATCAGGGAGATGCCGGCTAGCATAAACGGCTTGCGGCCGATCCGATCGCTCAAATGCCCCACATAAGGGGCACAAAAGAATGTAAGCAGAGAGCTGGACACGAAGTTTGTCCAGCTCATCCATACAACTACGGTGGAATGCGCATCGATACATTCGCGCGGAGACGTCGAGGGCGTATAGACCGTGCAATCGATCCGGTGCCCAGCTGCAAGCGACGCGAAGCCATTTGTCATAAGCGTAGGTGTAATCGGGTAGATAACGGCGAGGCCTGGTGGGGTTGGTGATCATCGGGTAGTTCGCGGCGGTCATTGGTGAAAAACAGAGCGTGCGTTCAACCCATTTAGTGGCGAGGTAGTTGTTAGGGTCAAAAGCTAACGAATGCGGCAGCGGTGGAAAGACGGCTATGCCAAGGAAACGGCTTCGGCATGCACGTGACGACGGCACCCCTTGCACACAGTAAGGTAAACCCACCCGTAGAATAGATAAACAAAAATACCAGCAGACGCCAAACGCCCGTCTTCCAGAGCGCAGCAAAAAGTCCATCGGCAGTGGACTCCCTCAGCGATGCACTCAAGATTCGAAGCAGCATTGTGGAAAAATATTCACCACGTGAAAACGTCTCGTCTATGCAACGGCCATAGGGCTAGGTCGGCGAGGCCAAGCCTGCAAGACCAGGCACTGTGGATGGACGACTTGGACGTGCACCGTTGAGCCCAAGACGCACGATGGCGAAGTCTATGGGCGCGTACTACCTATCTATGGTTCCAAAACCACATTAGATGGGATATGGAAGGCTGCGATATTTTACGGTGATCAAATTGAACGCCATCTGTCGTTGGCTGCCGTACGTAACCGTTGGACCCCGCTGATGCAGTTCTTTTCATATGCAATGGCCTGGTAGCCATTCTTGCATATGGAGCCACAAGATCCGCGCAGCCTCGTTAACTGTGCCAGTCTTACGTTCCAGATCCCACGATAATTTGGCGAAGTCTTAGGGTTTGAGCAGTCAGTGCTCTCCCCAACAGTGCCCCAGAGCCACCACCAGAACCTCCCTGTAGCACCCATGCCTTATCATGTATTATTAGATTTATCACGACACGAGCATCCCCCCCTCTTGGCATCTCGTACAATCTTCTGGCATACAACCTTACACCCGTTCAAAGGTACCAATTACGGTTGCAGCTACCGCCCTATCCAGGCGTAAGTGTGAGAGAGCAAGGCTGCAGATCGAGCGAACAAATGACGCCGGTTGATTCCACCTGCAGATGAGTAACCAATGCTTTGATTCTTGGGAGATACCAGTAGACATTGTGGAGTAGAGGGCAACAGAAGACCATGGAAAGGCCTTGCCCGCCGCGGTCCTTCCGGCGTCTTACCCGTCTCCGCGGCCGTGCGGCTTCCGTACAGACCGTGCTGTGGATCCTGGTGGACTTACTCAGGTGACCCAAGAGGTGTTGCCGAAAGCCTTATTGGTAGCCCGCAAGGTGCAAAAATGCACGAAGCGCCTATGCATATCGGTGGGTTCCTAGGAGGCTAAGTTACATGGCCACTGAATTGGACGCCCACAGTACTGACTTACCCACATGCCCACACTAGCTCAAGACAAAGACCTCAAGCAGTATACTTACGTTTATGTGCTGCATCTAAGTTATGCGAGCCGTTGGATGTTACTGGTTTGGGCACGGGACTCGTAGCAATCCGCGCAATGGTCAACACAGAGAGCAATCAGGAGCTTCGAAGGGATGAAGGTCTTGTGGGCGTCTCACTTCGCTTTCTCAGCGACTTCGCCTCGAAGGTCAGCGCGATGGCTGGGTCAAACATGCTGGGGCTCTTCGCTCTGGCTAGTCACATAAGGATCAGGGAGGCGTATTTCGAACTGAGTCATATGTGTGTTATTCCAGTTCACAGTGAACATTGCTCAGTGCTGCGAAGCGTAACCTTCAAATAACAGCGGGAACTTCTTGAGCGGTCGGAAGCCCAAAGCACGATCATGATTCTGGGCGCAACGACCTTATTTTCAACACGCTATACGGACTTATTGTATAGAAGATGTCCGACGGGCGACAAAGGAGGGCCGGTTGGAGCTCATACACATGTCCCACCCACTTGCTTCCGCTTCTAAGCACGCGGGCTTCCCAAATTGCCCCCTTTCCTCACCCCCAGGTCCCACCTGACTACTCCACTGCCCAAATCGTGGCCGAATTTGTCATACCGCAATGTGCAGATGCGAGTGCTGATGGCGTAGTGCCGTACAATTGTTTGCTTCCCACCAAGTACGTGGGCCGCGCACAGCATTACGTCATCCATGCCTGGAACTGCTGCTTTCTTTCGGACTTGGTGGTACCGCTGCTGCAACACTTTGTAGGTAAGGAGGCAGTTTTTTAGGGTTTCTAGGGAGCCGGCACAGACGAAACCTGTGTGGCGGCGACCGAGCGCTATCACGTCTTGAAAGGAAACGCTTCAGTCCCACGGTGCAACATCCTGCAGGCGACTCCAGCACGGATCCCGCCCTCCGCGCCGCCACGCTCTCCAATACCTTCCTCTGGGTAGACTGCTTCTGCTGCCCCCAGCCACCTCAGCAACATGCCTGCCCAGCCCCCACCACCTCCGTACCTGAAGCCATCACCACCACCGCCGCCGCATCTGCCTCTTCTACCAGCAGCGGCAGCAGCAGCGCATCCCTGGCCAACCGACTTGCCGTCGTGGACTCGGCGTTACGGCAGTGCAGCTCCGTATTACTTATGCTGGATGGAGGAGCAGTGACCCCGGCCGTGACGGCAGCTGAGGGAGCTGACAGCAGCAGGGGTAGCAGCAGCGGGGAGGTCAGTTGCGGTGGCGAGGGTGAGGTTGCGGACGGTGGCAGTGTCAGCAACAACGGTGCTGCTGCTGCTGATGGCGGCGGCAGCAATGGCAGCAAGAGCAGCAGCAGCTGCAGTGACAGCAGCAATGGCGGGACCACTGGCTGCTGCGGCGCTGTTGGCGGCGCCGCGCTGTGCCGCAGCTGGTGTCTGTACGAGGTGGCGAGGGCGCTGCAGCTGAAGGGGGGCTCCGCTGCACTGCATGTGCCGGTGTTCGAGTTCCCGCTGGACGCCGTGTATGAGAGGCTGAAGGTGAGGGGCAGGGAAGGAGGAGCGGGGGAGGTGGAGTGGAAGGGGCTGAGTCCTGAGTGCACTCTTTCACCGACTGCTCCTGTACCCTGTACGGTGCCTTTTGCTCCCGGCTGCCCCTGGCACTCCTGGTTGCCTCCTTGGGCAACATGCAGTCATCATTCCGCCCTGACCCCCTTCCTCCGCTCCCCCTGCTCCTGCCTGCCCCCCTCCCCACCCAAAACCCTCCGCTGCGAGCAGCACCTGGACGTTGCCGCCTCCCGGGCGCACAGCCCCCAGGACCGGCGGGGGCTGCTGGCGGCGCTGGCAGAGCAGTTCGCGGGGGCGGCAGCGGGGGCGGCAGCAGCGGCGGCGGAAAGGATACCAACTACTGCTGCTGGTGGCGGTGGTGGTGGTCGTCATGGTTCTGGTGAGGATGCCACCGGAGCAGCAGCAACAGAGCCGCCACCAGCTGAGCCCAAGGAGAAAGGGGAAGCAGTGGCGGCAGTAGCGGTGGTGGTGTCTCCACTGCTGGCAGCGGGGCCTCTGGGGGCTGCGTCGCGGGCTATCTCCGCCGGAATACAGGTACGTGTGGAAACCGGGTGCGGGTACGGAAGCCGTCGCCTTTCTGTCCCACTCGAGTCGAGTAAGACAAGCTTGGCGGGCAGTCCCCGTGCCGCCACAGATAGCCGGCTTGCTCCTCTACATCGCAGCATGCGCCCGCGTTGCCTCGCGTTTTTGTGTGGACGCGTGCCATTCTTCTCAGCCTTAACCAGCCTCCCACCCCACCCCACCCCACCCCACCCCACCCTAACTCGACTCCGTTCATCAGAAGCTTGTCGTCTGGTTCGCATTCTCATCCAACGCAATGTGAGTTCTTCTTGCACCCCACGCACCCATGCAGGACTCCTTCATCGGAGAGGCCCAGCAGCTCATCCGCTGCGGCCTGCGCTCCGGTCCGTGCTACCTGGCAGCGCTGCGCAGGGCGGCGGAGGGGCTGAGGCTGGGCGGGGCGGCGGAGGGCCTGGCAGAGGCCATGGCACTAGCGGCGGTTAAGGTGGGGGGTAACAGACCGTACCATACCATAGGAAACCACATGTCAGGGCAAAACAAAGGGGTTGGGATGTACGGAGGCTCTTCGCGTTGGCGACGTTGAAGGGGTTAGGGGCATGGGTACGGGTGGGGGCAGGAGTGGACGAGGACCTGGGGTAGTGAGGTGCGGGTTGAAGGAGTTTGACAAGTTGCTGATGCCTGCAGTCCATGGTGATGCCACAATCTATGCATTGAAATCCGACGCTTACTTACCCACCTCATGCCCTCCTCCTCCGACCCTCCGACCCTATCCCCCTCCCCTTCTTTTCTCCCCCTTCACGACAAACTGCTTCACTCTATCCCCATTGCTTTGCCCTAACTTGTGGTTCTGGTATTTCTGACCCCCCTCCCTCCCAGGAGCACCGGCGGTTGCTGGGAGAGGCCTCCGCGTCCACCCTGGCAGCGCTCTGCAACCTGGCACTGCTGCGGCGGCGGCAGGGGCGGCGCGGGGAGGCGGAGCAGCTCATGCGGCAGGTAGGTGGGGAAAGCTTAGTGATGGGGTGGTACAGGTACCGGTGGGTGACTCCTGCTGTGGTGGGCAGGCAAACCAGGTGGGGAGGTGGGGACAGGCGGAGCATGGGTGAGGGACATGGGGGTGGAAGAGGAAGGAGGTGGCAACCAGAGAAGATGTGGCGGGGGCAACGGACCCTACATCCCTGCCCTGGATCCTCATCTTTGTTCCCTTTTTTCTGCCTCCCCCCTGTCCCCTGCAACGCCTCCCTGCGCTTCGCATGTTGCCAGGTGTTGGAGGGGCGGAGGGCGGTGCTGGGCGGAGGGCACCCCGATACGGCCGCCGCCTGCGCCCTGCTGGCCTCGATGCTAGGGGAGGAGGAGGGGCAGGGGGAGGGGCTGGGGCAGCAGCAGGATCGACTGGAGGAGGCAGTTGAGTTGTGGCGGGAGGTGAGTACCGTGACAGGGAGGAATGGAATCCTGCTGTATGGTACTGGCACGGCTGCCGTACCCATCCGGTGTGGGTTGTGGGTGTGGGCTGTGCTCCTCCTCCAAACCAACCCTACAGCTCAAAACCCTTCAAGCAGTGCAGTCCTGCACTGCCGCCGTGCCCGCGTCCTCCTAGCCCCCACCCCCTCAATCCTCCCCCCTCCTGTCGCCCCAGGCGCTTCACACCCGCCGGCGGACCCTGGGTGAGCGGCACCCGGACGCCGTCCTGGCGCGGCGGCAGCTGGCGGGGGCACAGCGGGCGCTGGGGCGGCTGGGGGAGGCGGAGGAGGCGCTGCTGACCAGGTACTGGGGGTGTTTGTTAGGGATACACTAGGCTGCGGATAGCATTAGGCTGCGGATAGGTACTGGGGTGAAAATTATAAAGAAGTGCAACAACACAATCCCAATCCCGAATCCCGACTCATGCAGTGAGCGCATTCGGAGACACTAATCTAGAAACACGCATCTCAGAGACTTACCAATTGCTTACCAGAAACCGAGATGACTTGGGGAAGAAGCCGCCTTGCATATGAACACTAGTAAGGCATGTGCCGCGCCGCCGGCCACTAATTCTAAGGCAACAAGGCTATTGGGCATACAAGCAGATAAGTCAGCGAGACGCGTTACGGGAAACATACCTGGAGAGAGGACCCGAAGGTACTGGGGTGCGGCAACTAGGGGCAAAAGGGTTGTGGGAGGGATAAGAGAGGGCAAGCGGAGAGGGGGCGGGATGAAATAGGTTGTTGCAGGAGAAGGGGTGGTGGCAGGAGGAGGTGAAACGACGCTGGCAAGGGTAGCAGCGACAGGGTGGTTCAATGGTGGTCAGTGCAGGTCAAATGGACGCCGGGGTCACACCGGTATGGGCGGGGGGTATCAAAGCGGGTGCCCTAGACAGGGCAGGGCCGCAGCCGCAACAGTACCGGTAGCAAGGCCAGCGAAGCTTGGTCATAGGCGTGTTGTCGTACCTTGGTTGCTTCATGAATTCCTGCGATTTTCATCCGACTCCCGAAGTCAACGGTGCCAACTGTCTCCTCACCCGCCAGGTCATCGAGCGACGTGACAGCTCGCCCTCCTGACGAGCTCTACTCGCAAACATCTACTTCTACAAGACATAATAGCCTGTACACGCTTTGCGACCCAAACAACGGTCAAACGTCAAGTACGCATCAACACCTGGAGGTTTCACATGCTTCCTTCACATCGGCGACGCTCGCACCTGGCCACACGGATACAGCCATTTCTAGTGGAGCTTCGGTCTTTAACTCGGAGGTGAGTTTTTGGTTTGCAAAGGTTGCTTGCTGGGACGCCGGTTAGAAGCTCCTATGGAAGGCAGCGACGTCGCGTCATTAAGACCGAGTAGTGTGCATCGCAATGCGAGGCTCAGCTCTATGGACCTCTTATTTTTAACGATATAATGGGTACCTATCGTCAAGGTTAGGGTCTTGACAGCAAACGTTTTACCAGCCTGTGAAGTTAAACCGTCTCGTCGGGCTGATAATGCAGTTTCATCATTTTCTATGCAAACCAGCACCTTTGTATCATAGATTCATAGTCAAGGCATTTAACATGCAACAGCACGGTGCGGTTGCGTTACGTCGCACGTTATCTTCGCTCATGGATACTAACCGGTAACCGGTACGCAATGCCTCGCCTCAAACCTACTGTCGCGGCACCTACCAGCAGGAGATGGTGGGGCCTGCGGACGAGGCCAGGGAAGCTGCCCGACTAGTATCCTCCGGACACCCACGCTCCCCTCCGCACGAGGGTCCATCCGAGGCGCACCCTCAACGGCTGCAATCGCAACAGCCACCGCCACTTCAGCAACACCACCATCACCACCAGCAGCAGTCGCAAACAGCTTCGTCGCTGCATCGGACACCAAGGATTTCAAAATCGCAGCAGCAGCGGGCTGCTATCAGTAACGGCCCTTCTTCTCCTCCAGATGCTGCTACCGTTGCTGCCACTCCTCAGCCTGCTGCTGCTACTGCCGCAGGGGTGTCTGCTGCTACTGCTACTGCCGGAGCAGCCCAGTTGTTGCCAGGTCGACCGCCCCTACCGCCGCGGCCGCAAGCACCAGAGCAGCAGCAGCGGCAACAACAACAACAGCAGCGGCAGCAACGGGAACACGAACCGCAGGAACGGCGGTCGGATGCACTGGATCAGCAGCTGAAGCAGCAGCTGAAGCTGAAGCTGCCGCCGATGCCCGCGGCGGCCTCACCACAGCAGCAGCACTTGCAGCGACAGAACTCGTTGAACAAACAGCAACAGCAGCAGCAACAACAAGGACTCGAGGAGGGCGCCCACATGTCACCCAGAAAGGCGACGGAGGAGGATGAGGCCGCTGCGACTCCAAGAAGCCAGCAATCCGATCCACTAGGACGCTCCCCTCGGAAACTGTCCCTCGGGAACCGCCGCGCCTCAGGCACCCCACCCGCGTACCCCATAGCACCACCCATCGCTGCGGCCATGGCGGGCCTGGCAGCAGCCGCAGCGGCGCTGCCGCCTCTGCAAGTCCCGCCGCCACCCGCCCCCGCCTCCTTACCGCAATCCGGACTTGTGCTGCCCATGCAGCACGAACCCCCTGCACCGCAACCCCTTCCTGCTGCTACTGCTACTGCTGAACCTGCTGCTGCCGCACGTCAGGCCTCCCCGGTGCCCCTGCCAGCTGCCCGGAGCGAGGTTCCCCGGCCGCCGTCGCGCAACGTTGCCATCGTGTGCGCTCGGCGGCTGTTGCTGCGGGCTAGTGGCGGTGGCAGCGCCCCGGCTTGCGGTAGCAAAGGGGGAGTGATGTCGGATCAGGGAGCAGGCAGCAGGGAGCGCTCCTTCCCCTCGATCTCCCGTTCCATCAGTTGCAGCGGTGATGCGGCAATGCCGTGCGCTACTCTTCGTAACTCATTTGGGTGAGGCTCAAAATGATAATAAGAGAAGCTGTCCTGTTGACGTGGCGTGCACATGCAAGTAGGTAGCGTGAGCCGTGCGCGTACTGCAAAGCAGCTCAGGCAGTGCTACGGATTAAATTCATCAACGCCACCTACTCTCAACGCCGCGTACAGACATCCCTGATAGCAAATTTCCTCAGTTGCATTACATGCCCCCTTCCCATGGCCCTCGTTCTCCCATAGATCGGAGCCTTCCGAGTTCGGATTCCGCGGTCAGGCTTCTTCTGGCCTCGGCTCGGAGCCGTCCGCACCAGCCGCTGTGCTCTCCTGCAGCAACCATGTCTCACGCGAGTCATCGGCTTACACGCTGACCCCGCGCCTGCATGCGCGCCCCAGGCCAGATACGGCGCTGTCCGCCAACAGCACGGCCTCGGCCGTCGCCCACATCACCCCGCGGGCTGAGGATTCCACGGACCCGCAGCCGGACCTGCTAGGCAGCGCGCTATCGCAGCTAAGGTAGATGACTGGCAGTTGATGGGTGCTTGACCGTGTCTAATGCCAACTCGTCATACATAGTACAAGCCGCTGTTACGGCAGTCTCCTTATCTTGCTGCAGAGGACCAAAGAATCTGCAAGGCTTGTAGATTGGATGCAGCGATGGCTCCCTGCTTTCATGTACACCAGTATTGACTTCACCGTGCCGTGCCGTACAACTTTACAAATCCGTACCCAGGCTGATGAAGGCTCGCGTCAACGTGATGCGGAGCGGCGCCGAGGCACGTGCAGTGCTGCAGCTCAAACTGCAGTACATCCGGAGGACAGTCGAGCAAGCCCTGGTGGCAGCGGGCGGTGTGCCGCCGTCCCCGCGCACGGTTCAAGGCCCCGTGCAAGGCACTCTACAGACCCCGCCGTTGCCGCCATCACGCAGTGCGGCCGGGCCGACCCAGCGCCGGCCCGTGCGGCGTACTGTAAGCGGCAGCTCGAGACCCACGGGTCAAGCCCCGCAGATGCAATGGTACAGCACATCTGGCCAGGCGTCGGCTGAAGGGGTGCTGAACAGTGGACGGCTTACAGGGTGTGAAGGAGGCGTCACGGTGAGTTGAATGAAGTTCAATACGAAAAGGTTTCGTTCATGTGCTTCCTTTTAGCGTTGTGCAGCGTACGCTTACTAGAATATCGGAGTCGCTTGGTGCCTTCACCTCAAGTTATCCGTGTCTTGTTGCATGCACGTGACAACACATGAAAAGGCTGAAGGCATCAGGGAAAATTCACCACTTTGTCACGAACGAATCCGTCCGTGACCCCCAGGCTCTGATGTCGGAGCTGAGTGACCTGCGGCTGCTGCTGCTGACCACCACCAACACTCTTAGCGCCGCACATGGGGACATACACCAAGAGCTGCTGCCGCTGCAGGTGGGGGCCTAATGCAGACTTGCGGGCTGGGTCGTGCCCCCCTTACATGATGGAGGGAATGACTGGCCACCATGCATGCAGCATAAGGTGGCCCGAGTGATTGTGTACTTGCATGCTTGTGCCGCGGGCTCCAAGATGGGTGTGCGTATCTGACCCTTCTCACCCCCGCTTCTCCAGGCGCTGGGTACCGAGTTGGCAGACCTGCAGCGCAAGCTCGTAACCAGCGTGGGGCCTGCCGCGGCGCTCAGTCTCCAGGTGAGATCGCATTAGGCAAAACAGTTATTCGTTGAAATCACCAATGCATTCAGGTTTTGCGGATGCAACGTCGCACGGTTCAAACCGTCAAGAGTTCCCCGCCCTGCCCCTGTTGTACAGGCGTCTTACCTATCGTCCGGCAACCCACTTTGCCCCTCAAGCCCAGAGCACAGCCCGTTGTCGAGCGGTGCCACGACCCCCGACGGCAGATCCCGTGACCCGCTGGGACGCCAATTGCGTAGTGCAATTGGTCCATGAGAGCGGGTTATCCATTCACCCGTCTATACCCGAGGGGACTGCTACATCCCTGGCATGGTTTGCACTGACGGGCTTTCAACAGCAACGTGACGATTAGGCATACTTCATCACCATGCGGACCGAGCAACAGCCGACAACGTACACTCCCGTGCAAAGCGAATCCTTAGGCAACTCCATGTGACAGCTTGCGGACCGGTCTCTTCGTTGTTTCATGACATCATAGCCAGGGCTTGTGATGCACCCACCATAAGGTCGAGTCCACGCTGGGGCAATGGCAGCGCATCGCACGTGAATTAAAGTGTGCCGGCTGCTTGCATGCTTAGCCCATATGCTTCGGCTCATCGGTGTATTTGCCGTGTGCATCACGACGGCCGCGTTGGGCTAGTTCGTTACTTAGTTGGACGTACGATGCTGAAACAGGCATTACGACGCTTACCTTGTTGGGCTACCGGTAGCTGCCTAACTCGTTGTACTGTCAAGAATACGTTTGCCTATACGATATTTTATCCTGGTGCTAGCTATTGGCATAGGTGACCAACTTACATTTGTGCAGGCTTGCTGCCTTTGCGGTTAGTGGGGTGTATACGTGTGCCCTTACCACTGCATGGTCCTGAACTGCGTAGAAGTGCCGCCGCAGGTACATACTTACCAACGTTCTTACCCGACAAGTCACACGACGTGCTTCCTCGCCATGCTACCCTGCAATGCAAGGCAGCTAAGCGCACCTACCAGAGCAATAACCGCAAGACACCTTACCACTCCCATTGCCAAAGCCCAGCCAGGAGTTTTACCTCCTGATGGCAGTGCACTGCGCATAAGGGAGCGGCAATCCGTGAGCAGCGGTAGGCCGAGCCAGCAAGATACCCACCTTGCACCTTACCGCCTTTCAGGAGCTGCTGCCATCAAAAACCTTGCCGTCATGCTACTCCAATCAACTACTCCGCAACCCAACTGTCGAACGCCTATGCCAAACCGATGGCTAATATCGCAAACGCTGCCAGAACCTGACAACGTACTAGTACGGTGCACAAAAACACACTTCACTCATCCGTTTTCTTGCCTCGTACATTCAGTTCCCGAAACCATGCGCAATCAGCTACACGCCCCTTACCACAGGCGGCAGCAGCAACCACGCTGCTCACCTGAGGTACATGTACCTACCCACTCCTCCCAGGTATGCAGCTGAAGACCGTACAGCTTTGCAGCCGTCGAATGTGGGAGAGGGCATTAAGACCTAGGACACTCAACACTAGAACCGAACGCATGCTGCTATCATGTGCATGCAGGCCCACCACCCCTGTAAACTCAGTAAGACGCACTCTTACCGCTAAACTACTACTCACCCGTGGGGCCGCATTCAATGGACACCATGCGTCTAACCGCGGCGCATGGCACTGGCATATGCTATTGAAGACCTTACCCATGTCATGGATTGAGGCCTTGGTCGCAGCCTAGCCAAACCCGTGCAGGGCAATCCCATTCACCCCCGTGCTAGCCTTGCCCCTATAAGCGCGACACCCCAGACGCCATCCCATGCATGGACGCCCATCCACACGCCCTGCGTTACACCATATCGCGCTCACGCCTGGGCCGATCCCGTTCGCGGCGCTCCCGGTCGTCGCGCAGCTCCCCGTCCTCCAGGTCCCGGCGAACCCGCTTATCGTCCCGTGGGTCACCGCGGTCTCCGCGGTCATCACGCCTGCGGGCATGCACGGCCGGAGCAAACATGTCAGATCAAGTTATGACCCTCCTCTCCTCTTAGCCAGAGTGCGACCCGTAGCATAGCATTCCAGCTAGCGTACCTGGGCGAGGGCTCACGGTCCCGCTTCCGCTCGCGGTCCCTCGTGTCGCGCGTGTCCCGGTAGTCGCGGGGAGGTTCCCGATAGCTGCTGCCGCCGCTGGGCCCGCGAGCGTCCCGTGAGTCGTAGTCCCGCCGCGGCTCGGACCGCCGCGCGTCTCGGGAGTCAAAATCACGCGGCCGTGACCTAGAACGTGTCGACACCGGAGACAATTGACGGTATTGGTCATGCTCTTCATCAGCTATATTAGACCGCCCAGAGTCAACGCAAAAGCAAAGGCAATACTCCCCTTCCAAAGGATATCGAGCCCTCCATAGTCAGCTGGCTATGGTAGGCGTGCCATGCGCGCTGGAAACAACAGCGCATGGAGGCTTCCCAAACCCGGACTTACCCCACAACCAGGGGGTATGAACGTCTCCGGATAGGTAATTGGGCACATTGCGCAGATGAAGAGTACCATTTTGTGTTTCCTTCTTACCACACATCTCGTAAGCTAGCCCCATTCACATAACCCCTCATGGGACCCAGTATCCCGCATTCGACGGCATCCCAAGTAACCCTTGACAGCTATTGTTGCAAAGCAGCAGACGTTAAGCCCAGACCAGCGGTGTATAACTGCGCATGCATATGCCATTGGCATGGACCATGACCGTATCGTTTGCCCCTGGAATCCAGCTGTACTTCCCGAAGAGACCTCCGTTGCGTAGGCTTCGCTCCCTGCAATACCGTACCTGTCGTCGACACCTGGTGTCATAACTGGTACCGGTGTGGGGAGAGGCATAGCTCCTGGCTTTGCCTTCTTAGGCGGCTTCGGCTCGCGCCCTGGAGCGCCCAGTCCACCGCCGAGTCGCCGAGGCTTCCTGTTCGTCGGGTGCAGTAATGCTACGTAACGGCGGGGTTCGTGGAAGCAGGCATGCCGAAAGCAGACATGGAAGCGACTAGTATTTGCCAAGGACGAGACACACCATTGTTGCCACACAAGAAGTAGCAAGGGAGTGAACCAGCCTCCGTTTTTGAACAGACTCACCAGTTCTCCACCGTGCGGCCGCGCTCCACGTCTACTAGCACACGCCGGCCCTCAATCTTCTTCCCATCAGCAGACTTGTACGCCTCCTTCATGTCCGCCTTATGCTCAAACTCGACAAAGGCGTAGCCCCGTGGCTTGCCTGCTTAGGAATGTGCGCATGGCGGGGGGAAAGCATGTGATAACCGTGCAAAGCAGTTTCATACAGCAAAGCCAGGGGCCCACTGCCAAGATCAGGCCCCAGAGCCAAATAAATACCCGCAACACCCCGCGCTAGGTATTCCCGCCACAGTGACTCACCAGCCTTGTCCGTCACTATGCGGACGCGCTTTATGGGTCCGAACTCCTCAAACTCCCGGCGAAGCTTTTTCTCCGTGACATCAAAGCTTAGGCGCGCCACAATAATCGTTTTGTAGGGATCGCCCTGCCAGGAGGAAAAGCAACGAGGTGGTGGGTATCTAGAACTTCGACACATGTGCACGAAGATTCCTGCCGGGGCTCACCTCAATCTTCGGGTCCTTGTTGGGGTCGAAGGTTTTCGCTTTTTCTCGCGCTTCCCGTTCCGCCTGCATGTCAGGCAAGTGTTGTGTTTGGTTGACCCATTCATACCATAGCGCTTAGTCCACAGAACACCATAGAGGCTAACTGACCTCCTCAAGCTTCCACTTGGTCAAGCGTATCTTCCTGTGGAGGAAAAGAGTGGGGACTGTAATTAGAAGGGAAGTTTCCAAAGCAGGGAGAGAAAAAACAATCTGGCACACATACTTCTCGGTCTTCGTCTCGGTATCCAAGCGAGCCTGCGCTGAAAGCTCCCGGTTGCGAAACAGGCGCGGTGAAGGGGGACAGTCCTCGCTTCGCGGCGGCTGGTACTCTGGGTCCCCCTCGCTAGCAAACTCCTTCACATATGCTGCTATACCCGTGTAAGGTAGCTTGATTTTAGGCTTCTTGATTTCGGGTGGTAGAGGCAACTGAGCTCTGGGGTTGAAGAGAGACAGCAGAGGAGGAGGCAAACCCGTCTTATGGCCACTCTGCACGCTTTCCTTAAGGGCCTTAACAGCTGCCTGGCGGTTGAAGCCAGGCTTCTTAAAGCGGTCGAATCGATCCATGTTGGCAAGTCAGGTATCGAATTTGCTATCGCATGCTACTATGTCCGCTCTTGTGCACAGTCATATGACGTTTACAGAGCTTCAAGCTGGCGGTAAAGAGCAAGGCGGGTTCATGAACTTTGCACGACATGATACACGGCAGCTCAATCCACCCTCTGGCCACAGACCTAGCGGGCATTGTCAGGCAAGCGCAAAAGCTCATAAGGTTGCAAATAGTACCCTCGTTGCTTTTCTCCCAGTCGCGCGAATTCTAACGGACGGACCCGCGCATAGTGAGTTAGGCTCGCCCAACCTATGCCAACGGCTTGCCTATACCTCTCCTAAACCTTGGAACTCCTGTAGCAGCTGCCTAAGACTATGCATAGTGCTAGGACTGGTCATGTCACTAGATGTGTGCCTCAAGTGAGGTGTTCATTGGGCTTGCCACCCATAATGGTCAACTCCTGCACCGGAAAGGTGTGGCATCGGGGTATTCACGCCGCCTATTCCATGGAGCAAACAAGTACGTCGCTAATCATACTTCTTATTCCCAGATGGGTCATTCGGCCGCCGAGTCCCTGGTGATGCATGGTTTTCCGCTGATACCGCACACGTTTAGCGGCCTGTCCGTCGGCGTCGCGGTAAAAAACATTGGAGTTCGTGGCGTCCCTGTGCAGCTTGTGGGGAAAGCCAAACGCCAGGCCGCCCTTGACTCCCTTAAAAGCCAGTACCCACGCATGATGGTACGAAGCCTCGGCACATCTAGGGGGCCTTATTTTCGCATGTAGCCGCCAAAGGCCTTCGCCGTCCTGCCGCCCTGCAGGTTGTCGACTTCACATTAGCTCATTGCGTCGAAGGTAAGCTGAAGGGAGGGAGGGAAGCTTTGAGGTTCGCAGGCTGTGTCCCATCATACACCCTCCTCTTGTCCTACTCAACTATACACCCTCCTCGGCAAGCTGTCTTGAACCAACAACGACGGAGGCCAATACATGCCGCCTCTTTTCCCCCTTGCAGACCATGCACAGTTCTATGCGGACAACGGCCTGCCCTTCATAATGGGCACCACGGGGGGCGACCGGCAGCGCATGCGGGAGGCGGTGGAGGCGGCCGGAGTGTATGCGGTGCTGCCTTCCCTGGCTGGAGAGCAGGTGCGTGTGAACAGGGCACACGCCACATGGAGCAGTTACAGTACTGTAACTACTTGTAACGATCTTGCCACCAAAGCTGCATCTTTGGTCCCTAGCAGCAGGCCAAGCATGCTAGCGGGTGCGCCGCCATCTTTGCAGCCCCCCCTTCAATCCTTTAATGCGGAACGTGTATAATGCGGAATATGTATCCATATTACGCTCCTTTGCATCCATGTGAGAGCCGCAGTCCAAGGACTGTACACCAGCGTGCCCCCGATACATGCATGTTCTCAGGTAGTGGGTGCGTGCAGCGGCTAACCCTGCTGCTCCGCTGCCTCAACGCCGGGCACTGGGCTCTACCTGCTCCTGGCCTAGCCCCCGTCCTATCTCCAATGGCTCCCGTGCGGCCATGCTCGCAGGCGGCTGCCTTCCACGCCCTCCTGACGTCGCTTGCTGCGCCGTTGCCGCCCAACTTCGAGCAGTACGCGTACGAGGCGACGGGCCGGGCGGCAGACGCGGGTGCACTGGACCTACTGGACCCTAGCGCTGCGCCGGAGATTGCTTGGACGCTACAGCGCATGGGCATTCAGTGCGACGAGGTGAGGGGCATGGGGTGTGGTTCTGGCCGTTATGTTAGGTTGCAACCTGGAAACGCCTTGTACCGGCACTGGGGGCAACTGCATCGGCATTGCATGCCTAGTACCACTCTTGGTCGCCCACCACAGGTCTCGAATCTGCTGGCCCTGCTGCTAGAACCGAGTACGTCTGGTACATACACCACAGCAGCCGCGTAGGCGTGCCCAAGAAGCGCATGTGCGGATACCTGACTCCTAGTATGTCTACATGCTCCTTACTTCACGTGCCCCCCACGCGCAGGCCCAAGTCCACCACATGCGTGCCGCTCGGCAGCATCGCATGGAGGGCCTACTTCACCTGGAGCGCGAGCCGCCTGCAGCTTCCAAACTGCACGTGCTGCAAGGCCGCGGCGCAGCACGCACCTGCCGCCTGACCGCACCCCACCATGGCGACAGCAGTATCAGCGGTCGCGGTGCCGCCGGCGGTGCTGGTGCTGATCAGCCCTCGCTGCTGCTGCGCCATTACGGCTTGGATCGAGCTGCGTTTGCGGCGGGAGTGGTGCTGGCGGCGCGCTTCCTGGCGGCACGTGTTGCCGAGGGCGCTGCGCAGCGAGTGTACGACATGGTGGATGTACTGCGGGCCGCCGTACTGGAGAGTGGAGATGGAGGTGGTGGAGGAGGAGGAGGGGGAGGAAGCCAGCAGGAGGTGGGGCATTCTGCACCCAGGTTCTCGAGCAACATTCTCTCGGCGGATCAGTTGGTCAAGGTAACGGCCACGTCGGTTGCTGAATGACTGACCGGCGCTGTAGTCTCCAGTCGTACTGTCTTGCGGGGTACTGTGCGTGGTTGCCAGTAGCTTGAAGGTTGTTACCGAGCTTACATGAAGCTATGTTCAAAGTGTTCGTGCGGGCGGCATCTTTGCTGGACTGCTGGCGCTTGTAGGTTCAAGCATGACCTACGGTATGTCCAGTTCACAACAACGCGTCTGAACCCGATCCTATTACCTGTGCTCGTCGCGTGGCAAGGTTAAAGCTGCTATACATAGGCCTGCAGCATGTGTACGTTAGTAAGGAGGCCTTGGTACGGGTAAAATAGGATTGTTTGCACGGAATGTAGTCTTGGCTTGTCGTGTCTGCCGTTGCTCAAAGTCCTTTGGCATTGTCCAACTCATGTGAGCCGAGATGTTGGTATTGCTTTGTACAGTTAGTTTACTGCTCGCAATAGGTCAGCCGTGGGTGCCGCGTGGCAACCAACGTGGGTGAGCAGTCCTGCATTGCCGTACCGTATAGCGGCGCTGCTGCGGCTACATCCTGTTGTACACGGGCCCTCATCCGGAGATGTCCCCGATGTGTATATTACCCTGTTTTGTCCCCTTTACCTGTCTTTTTTTTGAAGTGCCCACCTTACATTTGGTTAATATTAATGAGAGGCGTTTGTGTCTAGATAGGTATCTGTCAGGGTAAAGGTGCAGTCTGGAGGCAGGGGTTCTAAGTAACAATACAGGAGGACTAGCAGAAGATTGTACCATATGAGGTCGTGCCCCTGCGCCATTCCGTTTGGACACCTGTGGGTGTATGTAGCTAAGGGTTATGTAGTTCTTTGTTATCATCCTCGATAGTTAAAACATACACCCGCATGCTTTGGGCGGGCCTAACCTTGCCATGCATCCATGGCTGTAAGCCTGTAACCCAAGCACAACAACTGGAGGGTGGCTTTTATTGCATGAGTCGGAACTAGGAAGGAAGGACTTTGGGCCGGTTGGTGGTACTAATCTCGGAAGTACTGCTCCATGTGTGGCTCGTATCCTGTTTGTTTCAGATCTTGCCTTGCTAACTTGGTTTGAGACGTGTTGAGATTGGGCCTATGTACGTGTGCTATGCCAGGCTTATGTCACAACACCGTACAAACTTACACCTACAGCATCACCAGTACAACATGGTGAGGGGTCTTGAGCAGCCCACAGTTGTATCTACACATGTAATACGCCCTGACACATGTATACTACCGATTATGTCGGTAGTATCAACACGTAATCCATTGGGTATGTACGAACGATTTCATGTCATTTTTCACAGGAACCTTCCTTGTCAAACAGACCCCATCACTCAAGCCAAACACCTTCACAAGGTGCGGCGCATGAGGACACGAGGCCGCATTTTATGTTTCAACGCATCCAACCAGGAATCCTTTGCATATGCCGCGTATCCGACACCATCGTACAATTCCCGTGCCGCAGCGTTTTCCTCCCGCACATGCAACCACACTTCTCGCCGCCCAGCTCGAACCGCAAGATCCTCACAAGCTGCCAGCAGAGAACGTGCCACGCCCTGGCGTCTGACCCGTGGGTCAACGGCCATGTTGGACACATACACACCGTCGGGCGGCGGTCGGTTTACAGGCGGCACGCGGCGAAGCAGGGAGGATTCAGGTGAAATTGATACGGCAGCCGTGCCGACGAGGCGGGAGTCCTGGCCTGGGGGCAGCGCGGTGACCCGTGGATCTCCTGGATAGAGGCGTGCAATCAAGAAGATTTCGGGTAGCTGCTGTAAACCGCCATCTTCATGTTGCGCTAATGCGTCATGTAGCACTCCTTGGATGTCTGCATGGAAAGTCCCAAAGCGCTATGCTTACGGAGCCGTGCAGCAGAACAAGAGGCCATTGGGGCCATGGAGTTGGGAGCGTTAAGGCAAGAGACCATGTTGTAAAGGGGAATTATTGGAAGGGTTTGGATGCGGGAGGGAGCCATGGCGCCGCACGAGTGGAGTAACGGTTGCGGCTGCAGGGCGGCAGGTGCTGTTAGCTCGTACACTACTTCGAGCCGTATTCAATAGATGGAAGATACCGGCACACCAGCACGGCAAACTGAAGCTCAAGGTTAAAGGAAACCGCAGGCGCTGCGTTCCCTTTGTTGCCCAACTAACCCACCATCTAAAACTCCATCCAGCGCCACGGCTTCGGAGGACCCAGCAAACGCGCGCGCCAGGACCACTCCAGCTGCCTGAATGTCGCTCTGTTCAAGGGGTCTGATGACAAGGCGCCCCAAGGCAATTTGCTCTTCCCATCGCAGCTGCCGTGCAACCGTCCCAGTCGCGTTATTAAGATTAAGAGAGTCGCGGCTATGTACTATAATACATTTTCGACAGGTATGAATGGCATGCTGTCGAGAGTGTTTGCTTAAACGCAGATGCAAATGAGGAGTTCTTAAGCAGCGCAGCATCTCTTGGCTTGTACCTATTTCGTTGTGTTGATCCCGTACAATAATGCGATGTAATGGCGTATAGGGCCAGGCGCTTTACCACTGCAGAAGCGACTCGGTTGCCCTAAAGATCCGCCCCACATCTTTTATGGATTCGTACGATAACCGTGAAGGTATTCGAAAGGGCACCCAGGCTTAGCAAGAAACATTTCTAGTTATGTGGAGATTGTTTAATGATATAGACACTTAGCGCGGTAGCCCAAGACGTCAGACTGTTGGTAGCTTCGTCTTAGTCGGGTGTCCGTAAACCGGAACCAGGAACCCGGAGACAACGACCGCTTTATTGTGTACTGCCTTACGACTCTGCACACATACTATTTTATAAGGGCGTAAGGGCTGAGCGCTAAGTCGTCTCTGTCGGCTTGTCGACGAGGATCCTGCGAGGACGGGATGGCTTGCGCCGCCGACGCCTGTGTGCCAGCGCCCGAAGATGATTATAAAGCGCTGGATAACGCATGTCAATTATGTGGAGACAAGCTTCGCCATCTGTACCCAGGCAGGTGTCGGACCATGCCTGGCGCAGACTCTCAAAAAGGGTGGAAGGGGCAACCAAGGGCCTTCTCAATGCCACGATACATGGCGAGGGCAGTAAGCAGTCAGCCTCTGTGCTATTGTGGACATTTCTGTGCACCACATGCACCGATGGCTCGCTGTCTTTCTTCTTGCTTTGGCTCCCTAATCCAATTACAGGCTTTACGGCGAGCATCTGCGAACGGTGTAACGCGAACACAGCAAAACACAAAGGTAGAAAGTCGAAAGGCAACCGACACGTTTGGGGACGCCTCCTGCCTAGCGTTCCTTGCCCATTACGTCCTGTTGTCCTTTGGCCATATATAGCTATATGCAAGTCGACCAATGGCATTCATTACTTGAGCCCACGCTTATGTCAGCCGTGCTCTAGGGAATCCTGCCTCAAAACACTTCGTTTTGCGACTCGTGCCTGGACCTACAGGGCTGTCAGCTGCTAACCTGAGCTCTGGAAGCCGGAAGCGGCTTGCCCCTGAGGACGCCGATGATGGCGGCATATCTCCCGACGCGTACGGTTTCATGGCCTTACGTCGGTCAGTCACAACCGCCCTTGAAGGAGACGGCACCTCACCTGCGTTAGTAGGACGGCGCGGTGCCTCTAGTGACGGCAGCCATGCACGTGCGTTCCAGCGTTCGCAGTCCACTGGCGTCCTTACCACCTGGGATTCCGAGGCCCCGGGAAAGGTCCCAGGGCCTGTCGCCTACGGCAAAGGCACAGTTGAGGGTGCATCCTTGGTTTTGAGCCAGTATCGGTGCGATGACGGAAAGCATCAGCAGCGGGCGCAGCAGCTCTGGGAGCAGCAAGAGGACTTGCAGCCGCAACAGGACGACGATGGGGGGCTGCTTGCAGTTCCGGTCATTCAGCCCGAGCCCGACTCTGATGCGGAGCTAGAAGATCAGCTTTTGAACAGCAACGCGGAACGCATAGCGGCTAATGCTGAGTCTTTCATTGCTCCTGCTCGCCGCGATGGCGGCGCTGCTGCTGCCGCCGCTGTCACGGCAGTGGCCGCTCTGTCACAGAAGGTCTGGGATCAGCCGTACGACGACTTCCTTTCTGGCCAGAGGTTTACCTTTGGCGCCGTGGAAGATGGCTTTTTCGAGACGGATGTGATCAGCTTGGGTAGCGCCAGTGAAGAGAGCGACGGAGGGTCGGGAGCCGAGGAGGACGATACGGGCGACGATGCAGTTGGCGGCGAGAGTGGCCCGGAAAGCCCCCTTCACGGCGGGAGCGCCGCCGGTAGTGGGCGAGGTGACCGGGGCGCAACCCATGGCATTAGCGTGGAGGCACCGCCACAGGTGTTTACGCAAAGGGCAACCCCCAGCACCGGCGTAACTGAGCCCGGAACAGCGGTGATGGTCTCTGTTGCTGGAAGCAGCGGCGCCTGCACCGCGGTGGTGGCTGCGGTCGAGGCCGCTGCGCCGCTGCCAGCACCCATTGATGCCGTGCATGGCCCGCCTGGCCTTGGACAATTCCCAGATCCGCTGCCTTCACCTCAGGTCCCAACAGCCATGGATCGGGTCGACGACGAGAGGGGCGACATTCAGCATGTTGCCCGTGAGCATGACGAGGCTGCGCTCCTGCCGCCTCGGAGCTACAGTGCCGACGAGTCCGTTGGGAGCGGCGGTGTTGGTGACGGCAGGGCGGGCGGTCTCGCTAGCGGAGGTGGCAGCAACTGCGCTTCTGCTGCCATGTCTCGGATCTCCCACGCTGCATTCAACGGGGCTGCATATCCTGGTGAAGGAGCCGAGGCGATGCACCTGGCGGGTAGCTTAGGCGCCGCTGGCGCTGCCGTGACAGCTTTCATGGCCGCTGCTGCGGCTGCGGAGGCTGCAGCCATCGCAGCCACTGCAGCTGCAGCTGCTAGTGCAGCCTTCGCGGCTGCTCCTGTCTTTCCTCAGGAGCGGCTTCACCTCGGCAACGTAAACCCGCTGGTCCTGCCGCAGACGGCAGCAGCTGTTCCGCTTTGGTTGCCGCAGACGGCGGCGGTGGCTCCGCTTTTGCTGCCGCAGACGGCGGTGGTGCCGCCGCCGTCGGTGATGCCGGCGGAGCCCTCACCGCCGACCCTCCATCCCCGCGCTTTCCTGCCTAGCCTGCTCCCGCCTGAGACCTATCTGGGATTCGTGAACCAGCTTGTTGCGTCCGTTCGTACGGCGGCACGGGTTGCCGCTGAGGCATGTGGTCAGCGGCAGCAATGCTACCCTGCAGCCGCTCACGAGCATGTCGTGCCCACGTTTGGCGGCTGCATGGGCGGCATGGACGGCGAGGGCGGTGGCCGTGTCACGGGTTTGTGAGCTGCTGTGGGACGCTTTTGCGATGGCGTCTAGCGTGCCGGCAGGTGGGGTACATGCGGGACTTGGGCTTGTGTGTCACAAGCGCACATGCTTTCTTGCGGTACTTGGAAATGCGCGTGTGAGTACATGAGGGAATGCCATGTGCTACAGGCAGGGTAAGAACACTAAGAAGTAGGGCATGGCGACGGCGCTGTTATCCGGTTCCACGCCGTGGTATTGACAGTACAGCACGGCTTGGATGGCTCGGCAAGTTTCCTATGTGGCAGGGGCGCAGGGTACGGGAGGGTGAAGGTGCATGAAGGGAGTAGCCGTTCGTTTGTCTGGCTTTTTAATAATAAAGTAAGAGGTGATTGTTAAACGTACAATGCACATGTCTGGAAGCCTCCAACGGGGTAAGATGCGTTGTTTGGAACAGCCGTGTCAAGTAATGTGGACTTGCTTGCGTACTGTGCGAGACTGGCGAGAGTAATAAAACTAATAACGTGACCCGCATGGCACTACGTATCCTCGGTGAAAGAGCAAAGAATAAGCCCAGGCTCTTCAATACTTGACTGTATCTTAAGAGACGCAGAATGCTTGAAAGGACCGTTAGAAGGATTGATGTGTACCGTTATGAAGTGTACAATGAGTACGGGCAACTTTAGGTATTGCTGCTGCTTGGATTAGCTGGCATTTCATGAGGTAGAAGACAAATGCGTTGGCGCAACATGTGTCAAACCACACTATGTATTGTCAGAAGCCGGCGGACGGAACAGTGTCCTGCAGGTGTGGCCCAACGGTACCTCTCCTACCTTGGGTTTTATTTCCGTGTTTTTCTTCATTGTAAACTGGAAGACCGTAACCAATTTGGTTATGGTTTAGTTGTGGCTGGTGCGAGAAGTCTGGCGCAGGAGTGGCGCGTGCCATCGTTGCGCCATCCACGTTGCCCTCGTGTAGTCCTGTTGGTGGGAATAGATCCTATGGCAAGAGCGGTCGGACGTCATTTATCCGGTTTCGTAAGTCTTGGCCCTAGGCCCTTTCATTTCACTTTCGATCCTGTCCTATGCTGCTCCACCTCAGCAGTAACGCGCAGGGCAAGCGCAGACACGACCCCAAGCATTTAGGGGCGCAACTGTCGCCCGCGTGGATAACTATGGATGTTTTGAAGAGGTAAATGGCTGGTAGCAGGGTATGATTCGAGTTATGCTAGCAACATGTTGGTCCGTCTCTCTTGGTTGTTATGATTTGTTTTGTTTCAAAGTCCTTCACGGCAGCCTTCATGACAGCTACCGTCGTTTTTTCTGCTGCCCTTTGGCTTAGGGGGCCGCTTTCGAGGCGACAAGGAAGCATGTATTTTCTGCAAGAGTAAGCTTTGGGCAGTTGGGTTTGAGGTGGTACATTACCGGTACCGGTAGCCCTTGGGATATGCATATCTCACCGTACACCTAGTTGGCGCGATTGGTTTTGGTAATTTTGACTATGTGAGCGTCACACAGCTGGCAGTGCCATTGGGAGCAACACGTACTGTACACGCGTACAGGCCGTTTATGTAACTGGAAAGCAAGCGCTGCATTGCACGGCTCTATGGGACAACCTTGCACACATGGTGACTCACATATAGTGCACTCTTATGTCGTTGCTCGATACCCGGTAACTGTGTCTGGTATGTGCATGCGATGCGGTTAGTAAAAGGCATACGAAGCCAGGGCATGCCTCTGCAGAGTTTGGAACGTTTCCTTAGGCTGTATGACATGCCAGTTCCCTGTAGACAAGGCTGTGCTTTCGGTGGAACCCCACGCTCAATAGGTCCAACTGCAGAAAGGCGTGACCAGCGAAATGCAACTGCCCCTCGCACTCAGCGTGCCTAAAATGACAGGTATGATGGTTTAGGGAGTATCGTCAGACAGCGAACGGCGGGGTCACGCAAGGGTGGGCTTCCTGTTTGACACTGTGGACAGGGCCAAAAGTGCTGGTAACGACTTGCAACAAATCCACTGTAGATTAGCGTTGACGTATTTATTTAAGATAATTTAAGGTTCTTTGCCCTGAGTAAAGTCAGGGAGACGCTGTCAGCTGTCTCAGGCACACGATCGGTTTGGAACCATTCCGGATCCGGGAAGTTCGTTGGTCTTAGCAGTCTTTTTGCCACAGCGAAGTCCTTTGGTACATATTGTTTTATGTGGTTGAGATAGAGACAACTTTTAGCCCCCAACAGCTGCGGTGGTCTTGCCGGCGACTACCGGGACACTGGCAATTCTGCAGAAGCTTTTAGGCTTTACTGCGTCAGGAAGCCAGAAACATACTTTTTTACTGTTTGAGAACAAAGCGTTCTACTTGCAATTTTGGCACGCTCCTAGTTAACGTGGGTTGTCGCAGAAGTTCGGCATGCCCAGCAGGGTCGAGCTGGCCATGCACCATACTAGCTCGTACATTGTATCCTAGGCTTATGAGCTGGGATACTGCGGCTTTGTAAGCTATCAGGTGCCCTACATGGAGCACGACATGACGGGTAAACGAGATAAACCATAGAAAGAGTTTCCAAACCGTATGTGTTGTACTGACAATCTATCGTGGTGTAGGAATGTGCGTCCCATCACCGCTGCCGGCCCTGCGTCCGCTAGACTTCGGGTCGTGGTCGCGATGCGGAAGCCAGTCCGCCGGCACTCCAGCTGTCAGAGCGCACCATGACTCAAGGTATGGTTCAAGGTATTGCCGGGTGTGCTGTTATCCTGATCTGTTACTAAACAGCGCTCTACCCACCCCAGGCGCTTCCTAAATGCCACGGTTGACACCCTGATGAAGCAGCTAAAGGCAGCCGCCAAGATTGCAACTGTAAGTGCTATTACAAATATCCTGCCTGTGACGGGAGTGTGACGCGTCCGCTTTACATGCATTATCTGCAGGACATGACCAGCTTGCACGACCTGGGGCAACTGAAGGTGAGGAGGGGTCTCCGGGTCCAGAACCCCTCGCGAGAAGGCTTACACCGCACGTGTAGCAAATATTGAACATGACCTTCTTCCAAGTGGCTTGCTCATTCATTGCTGCCTGCAGGCGAAGTACATCAAGCTATGGCAGCTGCTGAACTGCCTTACTGATCGCTACGTGGCGGCCATCACGGCCAAGGTGGCACGCATTATTTGGAAGCTTGGCCTGGAAGAAGCTCATGGCCAGGGTTTGCTCTATCGCCATCTCGACCTTCTGCAGGCCCAGGTACGGCAGAACGGCACACCACCAGCACAAGGTCATCAACCGGCACTCTTGTGTTGCGTGCGCGTTTTGTGCAGGATATTTGGCAGCCCCATGTATGCAGTCTGTTATGAGCTCATAGGGCTGGGAAGCGGGTTACGGAGAGTATTTCAATACCCATGTGCGGTATACTACCCGGATATCCATGCTTGCGGGACAGTTAAGGGGCTGGTCGCCGGTTAATGCGCTGCAGGCCCTGGCCGCATCCAGCGCAGCACCCTTGGAAGCATCGGGTACGAATGACTCTCTGCAGCCCGTTGCTTGCCAACAAGGAGGCAGCATACCGCCGAGTGTCATCCCACGGGACATGCTGCATGCAGTTCAGGACCTGGTACGTGGAGAGTTTCACAGCGGTGACTGATGACCAGCCGCTCACGCTTCATACTGAGCTCCTTCCCCTACTCGCGTGCATGCAGCTTACGAACTTGGCAGAGGAGCTTCTGAAGCTCAAGACCAAGCTCAGCACTGTGGAGGAGGAGCGCCTCCAAGAAGCTGTACTGGCGGCGGAAGCCGAGGTAGGGGTTTTGTATCAATGGGAATGGGGAGATTGCCTGTGCGCAATGATGCACGCAGTGCGGAAAGATGGGTTGTTACCTTAGAACCTTACCTGTGTCTTTGTGGCTTTGGGGATATGCGCTAAAAGGTGCTGCAGGTTGTCCTTCGCGTCCTTAGCTCGCCGTGCAATTGCCGGGGTTCTTGTTCTTTCTGCAGGGAGACGTGAGCGGCCCGCTGCCCAAGGGCGAGCTGTCTCCTGCTATTGTAGCCTTCGCGCACTGTACGACGCCAAACTGCACCGTCGCAGACAGCACCAAGGGCAGGACTCCATCCTTGGATACTTCGGCTTCCTCCGCGTCGCCCCCGCCGCACCGCCTTGCATCCTGTTACTGGGACACGGAACCCGACGCCGTGGCCATAGTGCAGGTTTCAGATACGGAGGGGCTGGGGCGTGCCGATCAACTCCCCACGGGATGTGGGCTTGCGTCAAGGATTGCTCAGGTTGCGCGTGTGGGCCTGTTTGCTGGGGCTTCGAAGAAGCCCACAGAAAGGAGCTTCGAACTAAGCACTATCCAAAAGGTTACCATATCGTCGGATCCTGACAGCTCATCAGGTTGCATCTCTCCATGTTCACCGCGATTGGAGCTGGCCGAAGCAGCATTAAAGGGGTACCTTTTCCATCAGTACTCGGAGCCGAAATCAGCGGCAGCCGCCCAGCCCCTTGGCACGATTGAGTTGTCATCTGCCCCCAGCCTTACCGGCGCATTGCGTGCCCCGCCGGACGCGGGCGTTATCTCTGGGCATACTCACTCAATCGGTTCGCAAAGCACCCTAGCGCTCGAATTGCAGGTAGGCTGTGGGGAGTCTTATCCTGAACAGCGCAGTTGTGCATGCGACAGGCCCAGTGTCACCAGATTGCCGCATCCCCTTAATGGCATGTGATCCTGGGTGAAGTTTGTTATCACTGCTGCCCTTATACGGCTACCATGCCGGACCCTACCATGCCATGACCAATCGCCTGGCCCTTCCCAGGAGGACAACGGAGGCGCCGATGCGGACTTCACGTACACCCAGCAGCGCCTGGCTTTCTCGGTGCTGAAGCTAGGGCAGTTGCGCGCTGAGCTCGATCAGGGTGCACACGCGCCATGGAAGAAGGTGAAGAAAAGCGTGCCCCTCGCGCAAAGCACATTGCCCGGAACGCATGGTAATTGGCCCTAACGATAAGGGAGTTGCCTCCCGCCTATGCTTGCCCCAAGCCGAGACCTGGCTGGTCGGCGCAATGATTCAAGCCATGCCCATGCGTGAAGTAATGCGCCCCATGACCATGTCCCACTAACAATTCGCAACCGTATAGGCTGACGGCATCGCTGATGTACAACATGTGGACCAGCACGGCAGCAGCGACGGCACTGTACCGAGTCCTAGGCTGGACCTGTTCGGCGTGGTAAGCACAACGCATGCTTGGACGTCATGGCCTGTTGCAGTTGACTGGTGACGCCTACAATGCGGTTGGTTACTGGGCGCAACGAGGAGCTTCTCTCACACTAGACGTTTTGCCGGCCCTCCCGCTGCAGGACATGTTTTGCGCCTCGGAGCTGGAGATGAAGGGGTTTCGCGCTGAGAATGAGAACCTGCGGGCCCAAGTCGATGTACAGGTGTGATAAGTATGGTACCGGTAGTTAGAAAGGCTTACAGGTGGTTTTACTTTCTAAATTACTTCCAGGTGGTCGCACTAACGTTACCGTATGCCTCGCCACTACTTGTATCCGCAGGCTGCCGAGCTGCGGCAGGTGCACAAGGAGGTGGAGGGGCTACGTGCCGCCAAGGACAAGCTGGTCGAGGAACTGCAGGTGACAACATGCCACGTATGGCTTATGGCTGAACGGCTACTACCCGAACCAGTTCTAAACACGCGAAGTGTGTATCGCAGGCTTTTCATACGGTGGGAGTTGCCGTCGAGAGCGCCTCCCCAGCGGCTTCAAGGCCTGCCCCTGCGAAGGCTGACAGCCGCAAGGTAAGGCTGTCATGCTCCAGCGATGAAACATGCCAAATCATGACATGGGGTGGAACCAAAAGGAGCGGGTTGACCAAACAACAATCCTATGCTTGAATTGTTGAATGGATGGTGCCGGCAAGGAGCACCAGGGATTAGTCAGCTGCCTGAGAATGAGGCCTTATGCTGACGCGAAGTGTGGCTGAGGGACACTCCGCACCGGGATGTGGTAGCCAAAGGCACCGCCCGGTAACCCCTATAGGATGTAGGCGATACTGTAAGCGGTGCGACGCGCCACGACGTCGCAGAGGCCCGAAGTAAGTAGGCGGCTGAGGCCCCACGCTCCGATTGCCGGCGCTGATACGGCTACTAAATAGCAGGCTGGTGTGCTAGATAGGTGCTACGCGATAGGGCTGGCCAAGCCGGCTATTGCGACGCAGCTGGTAGCGCTATGCACGGTCAGTATAGTAGGCTTTCGTTGGACTCTAACAACGATTACGGACTGTAAATGTTGCCGTGCGGTGTAGCACTGTGAGGCCCCGAGAAGCGCCGAACCAGGCGCTCTCGGGAACAAACAAGCCGGCCCAAGATCTACGACTCCAGGGAAGGCAACGAACTAACGACCAAATCGCGAGATACGGGCAAGCGCATCGCAAACACTGGCAAAGCAAGCGGATAACCAATAAACCGCTATACGTAAAGCAACCAATAAACACCGCAGGCGTCTCTTCTTCCAACTTCGGCAAGACAGTTGGACGGTTGGTCCTAGGAACACGACTTGCACACGACAAGGCTGGAGTCATGCATTGCAGTAGCAGGGGCATATCCCCAGCCTACACCTGTTGACCCGTCTGGGCCTTGCTGTTTCGCTGCACTGCGCATTCAGCGCGAAGCGGTTACCGCGTGCAACTGTCGTTCTTCGATGCAGGCGGTAGCCAAGGTTTCCCCGTGCGCAGCGCAAACGGGTCGAGCCGCTACCAGCGCGTTCGGTCGTAGCATCAGCAGTCGCATGGCCCGCACTGGATCCAGCCGCCTCTTGGCGGGCGCTGGCCAAGATGCAGAGTTGCGCAAGAGTACTGGATCACCTCTTGGAGCCGTTGCGTCGCCGAGCGCACGGCGGAGTCCCCTCCCATCCGGTCTGCAGGCAGCCACTTGCACGACCCCCTGCTTCGGTGCTGGCACGCCGCGTCAGCACTTTGGCGCCTTGGCGCGTCTCGAGGAGGTCCAGTTGCAACTAGTGCAGGCCGAAGAAGCTCGGCAGGAGCTTCAGTCTGAGTTGCAGGTAAGATCATACCTTAGGTGAGGGTTCGGCCCACTGTACGTGTTGACGTGTCGATGAAACACAACCCGATGCTTGCGCAGGCTGCCCAGGCTGTACTTAAAAGCAAGGACAGCGAGCTCATCACCGTTAAGGTCTTGCTCACAGAGTATGAGCGCATGCACGCAGCCGCGACACCACCACGGAGCCATTGGCCGGTTCCGCGGCGTGTTGGAGCCATTTTAGCCAGCGCAGGTGACACTGCAGCAGTCAACGACGTGTCGTTGCATGTACGCGGCTCTCCCGTCCGGGACCTTGGCCGCGTCAAGGCCAAGCTGTTTGATGATACGGAAAGCTGCGTGATGGCTTCCAAGCTGGAGAAGCTGCAGGCAGAGTGTCAAGAGCTGGCATGCCGCGCAGCCGAGCTAGACAAGCAGCGGAAGCGGGCCGTTAAGGAGGCTGAACACCGTAAGGCCGAGCTCCGGGCCGCTCAGGAGTACATCCGGGAGTTGGAGGAGGAGGTGTCATTGTTGCGCGAGGCCAAGAACAGTACTTCGCAGGAGGTGCCGCTCCAGGAGGCTATCCCTGACGCAGCAAACGCAGAGGCCGAAGGTTCAGCCCCGGATGAGATGCAGGATGCCTGGCAGATTGCATTGATGGATGGACAACACGTAGGGCAGGATGACCTTCGGCAGCAGCCTCTTGCAGTTGAGGCGGCCACGAGTACGGTCGTCATGGGAGGCTACCATGGTCAGGCCGCAGCTGCAGCACCTGCGCTCCTGGAGCTCACGACCGCAACCGCTCAGGCCGCGTGCCAGGCACTCATGGGGCAGCCAACACCTGAATCGGCGGCGCTGCAGGCACAGGCCGCTGAAGTCAAGTACCAGGATGAGCAGGCAAGCCGTGCTGCCGGACATGCAGCCGAGCTGCAACGGCAGGTGCATGCCGCGAGAGCCGAGCTTGCAGAGAAGGCAAGGCGGTTTGCTGCGGACCTGGAAGAGCGGGAGCAGCGGCTCTCAAGCGCTCGAGCTGAGGTTGCCGAGCAGGCGCGCCGCTACAACACACTCGCAGTAGACTACGAGGCGCAGCTAAAGGCTGCACGGTCTGAAGCAGCTGAGCAGGCCGAACGGCTGTCCTCGCAAGTATGGGATCTTGAGGCGCAGCTTGGCGCTGCCAATAGTGATCTCGTAGATCAGGCTCGCATGTACATTGGGTTATAAGGCCTTGTGATGTGTCCAGCACGGGCCGTGGCATTGCGGCATAGGACCAGTAACCAGAATAAGTGTGACCACGATATATCTTTATGCTCGGGTATTCAAAGCATAGCATGAAACTGCTGGATGTGTACACGAAAGGGTGGAATGCCGGTAAACCGTTTAGATCGGGAGTAGGTAGGATAAGTCAGCATCAACTGTCATGTTAGGTCAGACCATCTATCTAAGCCGGCCCCAACAGAGGCGGCAGCTGTTGCGTGGATACATTATTATGCTCGTGGGAGCTGTGACTGTTTCCATGGCCCTCTACTAATTTCTACTATTCTGTCGGTATTCGATTGCTGCAGCAAGTTTAGTAGGTTTCGTAATGTATGAATGTTCAGGGGTGGAGAGGAGTGGGTACAGCATCGGGGAGCATCCCCAGGTGCTGCCGGATAGGTCTTATGGGTAAAAGGCATTGATACCTTTCAGTCGTGAAAAGCACCTGTACCCAATTACTCCTGGGTAGTTGGAAGGGTAGCTTCGTTCAGCATAGCTCGTGCATCAGTATGTGTGCCCACATGAACCCGCCTCATGGGCAGCGGTGCGGGAGTGTATACTTCTGCTTTCCACTACTGGAGGCCTTGTGTCTTGTGACTACCGTAGCTAAGACGGGCACTAAAGCCTTCGGCAAATACCGCGCACTGGAAGTGCTGGGAATTATTGCCGCAGAACATCCCTTTTTGGTTTTGTGCCGCTGGGCATGTCTGTAAGGCCTCGCGGCGAGCCAAGTGACAGCGTGACTCTGCGTTTGTTGTATGACCAAACAGGATTTTCGAAGTTCGAAGCTTGCACATGACACATTTCAAGGACGTCACAGAAGGAAAAGGATGGGAAGGCTTCGTTCGTACAGGTACGGCGGACGTTGCACTACCGGTACTCTGCACACAGGTTCACCTCTTAAGTCGGGCATATAAAGTAATTGTCACCAATCGCAAATTTCATACTACTATCGTTGCCTTTAAAGTCAAGAAGTAGGAAGGATTGCACGCTACCGCTAATATTCGCTTTTCATACAGTCATACGCGACTTGCTGTCAACATTATTGTAATACTAGGCTTAGCAATACATAGCTTCAAGTTTTGAGGCGTCTGCGTGTTAGGCAGCTTGAGTTGCGAAGCCTCTGTAGAAAGTCCACCACAGCCTTTGGCTGCTTTCTTGGAGTTATCTAAACTTACGATGTGTGACACGGAAATCCCGCCGTGCATTCCTTGCGCGGAACCGATGCAAGAGATGGAAGATGAGGGTAAGCCTAAAGGTGCCGAAGTGTTGCTTAACTTCAAGCTTAAATACTACCATTTCTGCGCAGGCTTGCCCATCCCGTCGCTGGGGTGCGGTCCGACATTGCGCGGAAGCATGGGGACTGTTGGGATGTGCTCCCCGTCCTACTCAAGGCAGGAATACAACGTAGCAAGGTGAGGGGCGGCTTGCAACAGGGCATTATAGCACCGGTTTACGGCACTGCATTTTAAGTCATCGGGTTGCCACGGACGCAGGTTCTTTGCTGCACGCGACGTGTTGGACCTCATCAACCATCTCAATAAAGCCGCTAGGATGGCCGGGGTAAGTGCCAGGACCCGCTGAATCCAACCTGACATACAAAAGCCTACCTTTGTGCTAAACCGGCAACATGAACATGTTTCACAATGCTTGTAGGACGAGGCTGAGAGCCTACACGGTGATGAGCAAGTGAATCGTGTCAAGGTGAGGCCGGGCGGGGTAGGCTTTAACCCATTACCGAATACCACGCTGTCCATGTCAAGCAGTTGCTGTCCCCATAAATACTCATCTGCAACAGCTTTATGACCTTCCCTACTCTCCTCCCCAATTCCCCACAGGCAAAGTGCAGCAGGATGTGCGGCCTCTCCAACCGCCTCATCGACCTGTACGTCGCAACCATCAGGGCCAAGCTGTCACGTATGGTCCGGAGAAGCTGCCTGGGACACGCCAAGGGCCAGGAGCTGCTCAACCAGCATCTGGGTCAGCTCCAAACCCTAGTTGACCAGGTACGCTTATCGCCCCACATACAGTACTATTGCCGCCTTGCTGGTAGCTCCGCTTCGTGAGAAGGGGGAGTTGTGGAGGCCTGCATGTCGTTCCTGGCATGGACCCAAAGCCCTGAGTAGGTCAAACGCATGTGGGCTTAACACCTTCACATGACGCTCGTGCCTGCAGGCCTTTGCGGCACTTAATCTGGTGCAGCAGGCCGAGGAGGCGCGTGTCGAGCAGGCCAAGCAGGGCGCAGGGGACTACCGCGAGAATCTCTTGGTCGACTGCCGCTCACCAACCGGTCGCGAGGGCCGGGAGAGCTTCTCTGGCTGCGACCGCCGTTCGCCGGGAGTGCAGGACTGCCGGGAGAGCATTGCAAGCCTGGAGGGCATGACACCCACGGGTCGCGAGCGCCGGGAGAGCTTGAACATCCATGATCGCCCATCGCCGTCGGGACGCGAGCGCAGGTCGAGCTTGACAATGCTGGACCGTCCCTCACCGGCCGCTCGTGATGCCCGGGAGAGCCTCGGCATGCTGGACCGCCCCTCTCCGGCGGGACGACAACGTCGGGAGAGCCTGAGCCTACTGGACCGGCCCTCTCCTGCTGGACGGGAACGCCGGGAAAGCATTCGCATTTTGGACCGTCTCTCGACGGCTGGACACGATTGTCGTGAGAGCCTGTCTCTCCTGGATCGCCCCTCGCCAGGCGGACGCAGGCCTCCATTCCGGCCAGGTAGGATAAGACAACATTGCTGGACAGAACCTTAAGCCACTACATAGCCATTTTGCTATTGCCGCTGTGGGTGATGGTTGCCGTTGTTGTTGCTCTTGTTCCAGCTTAATGTTCCCGACACGCACATTTGCTCACTCTCCTCTTTCCTACCCGTTGTGCTCAATGTTGCCCCAGATAGTGGCAGCTTGCCGGAGCCGGTGCAACACTTCGTCCGAGACCTCCTCAACGATGCCAAGAAGCAGGTGCGAATACCCTGAGTGCCATTCGCATTCAGCCCTTACCAAGGCACCGAGGTAGCGAGGCCGTGTCATGTCTCTCGGCCATGCCCCAGATAACTCTTTCTCCTGACCCGAACGACACATGTCCTCTGTTGCACCCATCTGCCTGACGGTTGCAGTTCACGGCAATGGCGGAGGAGCTCTCGGAACTCAAGGCCAAGCTTGTTGCGGTGGACGCCGGCGCGGCTGCTGCCCAAGGAGTCGAGGCGCAGGAGGAGGGGGCTGCCATTCAGGAGCCGGAGCTGGACGAGGAAAAGGAGGTAGGACAAGACCTGCATGCTTGGGGTAACGTGTTGGAGTATGCTGACCAGAGCCGGTGCAGCCCCAGTCGCTGTTCTCTGCAGCTAACACTTTTAAGGTTCTGGGTCTGCTGAGCTGTACCCTGGCTGCAACAGTCAAATCCCTTCTTGACAGTCGTATGTCTTCCGTGGCATAACACCGCCTCCCGCCCAATCCTTCTGCTTGTGCAGGACGAGGCATCCGACGAAGAGCCCGAGGCCAAGCGTCACGTGAAGCAGCGTAGGGTGCCCAAGCGGCTGCTGCAGATCAGCGGTGCCCTGCTTTCCAGGAGCTTTGTCCTCCGGCAGATGCTGCGGAAGCCCTGCACGGGCGGCCCTCAGCTGCTGAGGCAGAGCAAGCGGGTTCTGCGCTACAGCCTCAGCACCCGCTAGAGGCGGCCTCGGCTCTGCATGGCGGTTCGCAGGCAGGTGATTCCCGCCAAAGAAGCTTGGGCTTTCTGCTGAGCTTATCGGCGGGGAAGTTTGAGAAGTACGGGGATTGGCAATGGACACAAGCGGTTTGCGCGGAATAACGGACAAGGGTTTGCTAGCTAGCGCCCATGTCGTACTTTGGTTCTGGCCCTTTTGTGTGTGTTTGGAGGCTTAAGTTCGCCGGTAATGTCCTATAGATTTGCCATGTCAAGGGCTGTGTGGATAGCCGCTCTATTGGCTGCACTTTTCATTGTGTATCGTACATTCGGACATCATGTCAGAGGTGACGCTGACGCGTAGGTCAGGGTTGGGGTAGCCTGAGAGCGGCGTCACTCTTGATGCCCGCATGTTTTGCCGCTGAGGATAGAGCGCGAGGGCCTGAGATTAGGGCCGACAATGAAGTCATGACATGTTTACTGGCATTTCGACATTCTGGCATTTCGGACGTAGGTTATGCCAGTTGGGTTAGGGTAGGAGTTTGCATGCTACCAAATGATAGCTGTAGGGCTAGTAGGACAGCAGGAGAGGATATACGCAGGCGTTTCTTTTATAAACAGATCCCCTGTTTCGGATGTTCGTTCATAATCTTTTCCCTTTGACACATTCATTGGGCAGGTGCTGGGGTAAAGGACGTTAGACCATAGCGGCGTAGATGAACTGTGGCACACTATCCTCTGTAAGTAATTTTGTGTATGCAAACTTGTTCAAGTTAGCGGGTACAACTAGGCTCGGATCATCGGCTGTGGGGCCGTCAAAGCAGTAGCGCTGTGGCTAGGCATGGAGGCAGAGACGTTAGGCAGTCAGCTGCAATTGTGCGGCAGGTATGTACGCATGATCGTGTGGCATAGGTCAGGTAGCAGGGCTGTGGTGGTTGCCTTGGATGTGCGCTGGGCCCAATCAGTGCTGTCCGCGTGTTCGTATATTTGCTCAATGGGTATTTACAGCTAGTTCATTATCGAGGGCCATGGGGAAACCGTGTGTCGCTCGCCTTGTAATCAGCAGACAGCAGACACGGCTACCGTGTTGCCAAATGGTTCAGGGATGCCCCGGGATGAAAGGACGAAGGCGCAACTGAGGCAACGGGTTGTGTGGCGCACCATGTTGCTGATGATGGCTGTCAGAGGGCTTAGAGAGTCCTATTTCGGAATGTTTCTAGCATCGCCAGCCGCGTGGGATGCAGCTTGCTGCTAACGCTTTGGCGGCGGACTAGGCCACGCCCTGGTATATGCTTCATAATGCCTGGAATTGACTAGTCACGTGCTGGATCTTGTACGCAAGGCCGTGCGACCCATGGGTCAGCCAAATCCTGTTTAGGTCCACCACTCGCTCTCTACCGTAAGCACAGCCCAGTTAAAGGGCTGGGTATGGCGTCAATATGTGCGCCACAAAGCCAACTAGCATAAAATTGGTCCATGAAGGTGAGCGCCCCCGCCGCTCAGGCCATGCACATGTAGTCATGGGGCTTGGTCAGTTAACGAGCGATCCTTGCTCCGTTCGACAGTTCTACGCCGCGTTCCTTGGTTTCATGTTCTTTACAGCATGGGGTGCAATCTGTACCAGTATGCGGCTTTTTGCGTAGCGACGCAAACGCGTAGTCTTAAGTGCGTTCTGCCTTATCTGGTGCAACACGCTATCATAGGAGCGCGGTATTGACTACTCATTTTGTTTTGACAACGGCGGCTGTGGTCCTGCCGGCATGTCTGGTATCCAGCAGCAAGGCATTGACAGCCCCTAGGCGATAAGAAACCACAGCGGCGATGATGAACGTGTAACTATGCTTGGGTTGCGCTATCGACGGCAACTGTTACTATACGGCAGTAGCACCGTCGTGGCCCACATGCGCTTGGCCCATGTGCCCACCGGGCAACGGTGTGCACATGGAATGGAAGTTGAATGGAGCCACTAAGGCAGCTCCTATTCCTCCTTGCGCTTCATCCTATGTAAAGCCAATCCAATCAATCTCCCTCCTCGTCACCTACTACTACATAACGACAAATCCTCCATACGCCCCTAACCGGTACGCTCGCGGCCAGTTTCCACAACACACATACGTTCATAGCCGTGGCGCAGGCCCAGCACATGCGTCGCGGCGCTCTGGGTACACCGGCGGCAAAAGTGCTTGAAAAAGCTTCCTACTTGCGGCCCTACTGTGCGCCACTCTACATCGCAAACGTACATCATCACCCCAAGCCGCACACCCTCAGGCATGGCATGGCTCCAAATTGAGTTCAACTGTAATTCAACCGAACCCGCCGAAGAACGGGACGCTGTCTTTCGTCATAAGACAGTCGTTTCCCTCTTCATTACATGCATAATGCTCAGACAAAAACTCTCGTAACCCGGAAGAAACGCAACTGCCGCCAGACCATGGAGCGGGTCATCTCCGGCCAGCAGCTGGTTGGTCCTTTGCGTCCACGTAGTACGGTGGGTTTCGGAGCGTTACGCCGTACTGCAGGGGATAGCGGGTCGACATTGGGGCGCATATGGTCTTAAGCTACCTATCGGCAATGGACTAGCTCGACGGGTTAACAGAGCAACCCATGCAGCCCTGGGTCCGCCAGCAACTAAACCCCCACCCTGCCTCAGGCAAGAAACTCCACCTTCCTTCCCCATCATCGGCGGTTCGGTCTCTCTCTCACCCCCCACCGCCAAGCAGTGGCCCACTCGAGGTGCCCCTACCTCCTGCAACGCCTGAGCCAGGTCGTCAGTCCGCAACACTCGGCGCTTATCCTTAGGGTCTACCCCAGCCTCCTTCATGGCTTTCACCCCCGCGGAACGCTTCATCTTGTGGTACCTGTCAAGTTGACACGTCAGCTGGCGTATTTGGGACGCTGCCAGTAACTGTACTTACTGCAGCGCATCGTGGAGCACGGTAGCCAAGAACCGCTGCGACGCTAGGCTGACCACTTGCGTCCTGTATAGAAATGCGTTGTAATGCAAGATCCTCCTATGCTCCGACCGATTAACTGGAAACAAGCTCACAATCGCATGTCTTCGTTGCACTCCCGGTCGTCCGCGCTGATGTTGTACAGGACAGGTCCTTGCCCGCTCTTCCGCATGTAGTATTGTACCAGTTGTGGTGGAACTACGAGCGGAGCCTCAACCAGGCCTGAGTAAACCTGCTCTGTGCTTGCAGGCAGAGGCCCAGAAGGAGGAGTAGGGGCCATGCCTCCTAGGTTGAGTTCACTGGTAAACTTTAGGCGAGGCCAGAGCAAAAGTCGTAGGTGTTAGGCTGAGCTGACGCACGTTTCTTCCGTGTTACGCCTACAGAAAAAAACAGGTACCTTTTATACATATGGTGCCTTTTACATTGACATATGCAACACCTTCCTTGCTCGGGATGGGTCATCGGACGGGAGCTCCATAGTACGGCAGAAGTTAGTCCGGGAAATCCGCGAAGAACAGGATAGCGCACATGCATCCTCTTAGCGGCCTGACCGACTTGTGAATCTAAGCATAGGAACATATCTATGACAACGCCATGCACATTTGGCTCGTGATCTAGAGCGGTTTGGAATTGACTTTAGCTAATCCCTTTCCTATTTGAGCCCACATCTTCCAATAACAGTAATTGTCTGCGGCACAGCCTGGCACAGCAGCAGATAGATATGCGGTGCATGAAACGGCGCCCCATACTTTTCAAAGAGTAGATAGGACAGCCATCGCGCCTGGTGGCTAAGGCCTTTACGCCCTTTCCGGGCGCCGGCCCTTGGAAATGTCGGGAGCAGTACCAGGGCCGCGTTTACCTTGCGCAGCGAGCCCATCATGGCAAAACCTGGAAGATGACAGTAAGCTGTCGCTCGATGCTGGACCGTAACATGTCCACGCCGTGCCAGCCTTTCTAAACAACGATTTTTGCTTTACAGAGCTGCTGCCTTCGTCTCCTTTATCATCGCCGCGTCTCCTTGATTACGGTTCATCAACGCGCGGAGGAAGTGGGCTATGCTCACCAGCGCGCGGTAAACCAGAGTATGACGTCGCAAGGTAGGATTGTGAAAGGGTTATAGCACCTCAGGCCACAATCCGGCTACTGTGTTTACTGAACAGACCATTGTGTTTTTCATCCTGCAGGTTCTTCACGGCACGCGACCTTGTCGACCTCATCAATAACCTATACAAGGCCGCAAAGATTGCCGGGGTAAGTCGCCTCCTCCAACATAGCATCTTGCAGCCCCAGTAGTAATCTACTCACGTCGACCCCATCGCTTGCAGGACGAGGAGAGCAGCTTACATGGCGACGAGCAAGCGAACCGTGTGAAGGTGAGACCGGGGAGGAGATCGGGTGGAGTCTGGGGTTCCACAGTCACGCATTGCTCAACTTTGGTGCTTGTGTCAACTGCAGGCGAAATGCAGCAAGGTCTGTGGCCTGTCCAATCGTCTCATCGACCTCTACGTCGCAACCATCAAAGCCAAGGTGGCAAGGATCCTGCGGAAGCTCGGGCTGGGACAGGAGAAGGGACAGGAGTTGCTCTACCACCACCTTGGACTGCTGCAGACTCTGGTGGACCAGGTACGACGCATCCTAAGTGCGCATGTCGTATATTTTCCTAGGGATTGCATTACGTAATCACTGCATCTTGATGCTCGTCAAGTTACAGGCATGAATGCGCTGCGCAACATGGATCGTAGTCTTTCCCTTAAAGACTTGCATCCATGTCGCAGGCGTTCGGGGCGTTCAATGCGGTGCAGCAAGCTGAGGCGGCTCGCATTAAACAGGCCAAGACGGGTAATGATGTTCGACGCGAGAACTCCGCAACACTGACATGGCGCACACCTGCGGAGCGTAGGCCGTCTTTCAGGCCAGGTAGGCCATGCATGTCACTTTCGGGGACAGCGTTACAGTCTGGTCGAGGTTTGTCTTTCTGTTGAAGTCCTTTCACGGGTCCAGCCCCTGCTGACATGCTGACTCGCCTCACTCCTGTACCAGGCTCGCACGGCAGCTTGCCTCAGCCAGTGCAGCACTTGGACATCAAGGACCTGCTGGAGGAGGCCCACAAGCAGGTAATCCATTATCCCTGAGCAGCCGTTGGCGTATACGTCGTCCTGTCAATTCGCTTACGCTAGGAGTCTGTCCTGTGGTTATGTGAAGAGCCGTCCACGCCTGTTCACTCATTCTTGCACCCTCTTACCCTTTCGAACACAGTTCACCACGATGGCTGAAGAGCTGCTGGAACTTAAGATCAAGCTGGTTGCAGTGGATCGCGCCCGCCTGCAGGAGGCCGTGGTCGCCGCCGAAGCGGAGGTAAGGGTTAAACATGTGTTGAAGTGGGGGCGCTTCTCACTGGATATCCATGCCCACACAATCGCTTTCCTTTTTCGCTTTCCCTTGAGCACACACCGTTCGCTTGCCTGCGCAGGGTGAGGTACCTGATCCGCTGCCCAAGATAAAGCCGACTGCCGACTTTGTTGCATACGGCTTTTGCTCCCGCTACACGGGGGACAGCAACGGTGGCGTAGATTTCGTTAAGGCCGGCATCTCCCGCACAGCTCGCGACGCGATATCATCGGCCCAGAGTCGCCGGACGTCACGCCTTGTCCGCTCCACCGAGACCTCACCAGCAGTTACTCCACAACTACCCTTACCTCTCACAACGGCGGCGTATGCGGAAATCAACACCGGCGGCAGCCGCAGCCCCCGGGGAGTGTCAGAGCCGGGCCAAGAACACGGCCATCAGGTGCATGTGGCATGGCCGTTTTCACCTTTACGGACCGGCGGCTCTGGGGTGTCAGGGAAGCACCGCAAGGGTGTCTCAGATACAGGCGAGGCCAGCCGTGGCGTTCTGAGGACGCCGCCTAAGAGCCCCATCGTTCCACGACTCGCATTGCATCGCCTTGTAGAACCTCATTCGGCTGGAAAGACTGTGGGGGGCCATAGCCCGCTTGGAGCCGCAGAGTCGGGATACGGCAGTGGCAGCCAGGCGTCTGGAGCGGGGCTTACCTCGCCGTCGCGTAGCAGTCTGTCTTGCACGTCTGCGAAGCAGCGCAGCGCCATAGATTCGGGGGATGCTAGCCACGGTGGCCAGAAGACGCCAACCAAGGGAGCCGTGTTCCGCCGGCAGCAATCCAGGAGCAAAGAGACGTCCGCAGAAGTGAACGGCCATAAGCCCCCTGTGCTTGCAGCGTTTGGGAGGTGCGTGCCTAGCAGCCCGGCCGGCCATGCCTCGAAGATAACGTCGCCGTCGACTGTGAGCGGAAGAGCCATGGTGGCGCGGGAAGGCGCCGTTGTGCATAGTACCACCACGCCAACGACAACATCCGACACCACTCCGCCACCCCTCCACCATGCCCCCGATACGCCGCTGACCTTTGACACGCCGCGTTCGGAGGGGCCGCGCGGGTATGTTCCTACCAGCGCCGAGGCTGCCAGCGACGGCTTCGCATTTGACGAGGCTTTGCCGACGTCCGGTGACCCGTACTCTGACCTCAAGATGCAGCTACAGGTGGGCATCGACACGTTAGGATGGCTGTTTGCATTTTCTGAGCATGTGATGATGCTCTTACTATGTATGCTCACAGGCACGGACGACGACCACTGAGATCCTTTCGCTTCAAGCCGCAAGGTTTGGAGAGCAGCTTGTGCACCTGGAACAAGAGAAGGAGGATGTGCGCGAGGTGCGGCAGGGGACAAAAAAGTATTGAATCTTATTTCCTGTTCCATACATGAAGGCGGCTGCAGTCCATTCACATCATCCGCTTTATAAGGGCTTCCAGGTGTTGCCGGGTGAAGCATCCTTGTGTTTGCACTTGCAGGGTCTACGCGAGCTGACACTTGAGGCGCTGCGATTGGTGCTAGGCGATCATGTTGGACTTGGGGCGGCCCTACACCTGCTCGGCATGTCCCATGAACAGCTGGAGGCGTCGGCAGCTCTTTGCGAATCTGGCGAGGCTACCATAGCAGAGCTCCAGATGACGCTACGGGTGCGAGGGGTTTAAATACTCCTTGGGAAGTCGCCTTGCTGCTTTTGCGCTAGTCACCCCTGGCAGGCTTGGAAGGTTTCCGGGATTGCAACAACTAAGCTTATAATGTATTGGACTGACAACTATGCTGATGCGGTCCGTTTCCATGTTACTCTTTCCCGCTACAGACGTGTCTGCAGCTGCTCGGTCACCAGCTGCGCCCAGCCCAGTACGACCTACCCCTCAAGAACAGCATCAGCGGAGCCCTCTCGTCACACGGCGATGGCGACGCACCTTGTGAACGCCCTATTTGCGCGCGTTGCAGCGAGCTCGCGGCCCTCTTGGACCAGCTATTGCCTTTGCTAAGTGCCGCAGCCACAGGCGACCACATCGTTACTGCTGATTTCAGCCTGGACGCGCCGCGCACCTCCATACCTGTGCTCGCCGCGGATGGGTCGCATGACGAGGTGGTGCTGCTGCCATTTGCGGCGGCCCTTGATAGTGCTGAGGCGGCAAACGACAATCCAGTGACTGTTGTGCTGCAGCGCTTAAGCGTCGTGCTGGGCCGGCTTCGGCGGCTGGAAGACGAGTCGGCGGACCTGGCAACTATGCTGGATCGTGAGCGCCGAGACCGCGCTGAGGCAGAGTCAACGATTGCACGCTTGCAGGCAAGTTGGTGGGAGTCGTAAACGGCAGCTGCCTTTGCCCTTCACGTTGCTTTCATGAGTTGACTTCGTGGCCTTGCTCCGTCTGAGCGGTTGCTCTTTCCATCAACACAGGAGGACCGCGAGCAGACTGGGACAAGCCTTACGTGCACCCAGCAGCGCCTAGCGTCGTCAGAGCAGCAGCTGGAACAGTTGCGTTCAGAGCTTGACCGGGTCACGCGCGAGCTAGGGGAGAAGGTGAGGAGGGCACTTGGACTTCGAGGGCGACTGTGAGGGCAACTGCTCAGCCTAAAACCTTGCACTAAGTAGCCGCTGCGCATTTCGTTCATCGCTCGCTTAATCATGGTTACCATCGTGGTGTCGCCCGTGTTGCAGGCCCATGAAGTCGAAGACTTGCAACAGCGGCAGCATGATCAGCTGGTGGCTGGAGAGCACGACCGAAAGAGCGCCCAAACAGTTCCTGGCCTGAGTCTTGTTGGCGTGGTAAGTCACATGTAATTATAGAACTTTTCCTAGATCGTGACCCACGGGCCACCGCCTCTCTCTAACTCGCGAGAATGGCATCTTGGCTTTAACTTCGTTGTTTGCGTATCGTTCATGCGTCTACTGTACGTTTTTGCTGTGAGGGTTTCACCAGTATTTCGACAATCTCACCGTGGTGCAGAGGATGGTTACAACCCTGTGCATCCCTTTCTGATGTTGTAGACCATGCTTAATGCAACGGAGATGGAGCTCGAGGGCCTGCGGGCTGAGCACGAGAATTTGCGTGCCAAGGCCGAAATGCAGGTAAGAGAAGTCTGGATCAACAATACCAATGAGGTCAGGCAGCGGGTGCAGGCGTGCCGTACAGCCGTAGTACCCATACGCCTTGCCCCAATATAGGCCACTGAGCTGCGGCAACTGCACAAGGAGGTATCGGGTCTACGTGCGGCCAGGGACAAGCTGGTCGACGAGCTGCAGGTGCGTTTCTGCTCCATGTGTGTTGTAAACCAATTCATGGAGCGGGTCACTATGCAAATTTTAACGGTGAGGGAAAGAAGCGTATGGTTGTTGGTTGGCCGGTACTGTTGGCATGACACCTACTTGAAGTTTAACCCTCTGTTGCTCATATCCGGATATGCTTAACATACCGGTATGTGCTACACAGGAGATGCAACAGCTTCTGGAGATCAAGGAGGGGTTTGCCGCTGAGGATGAGCTTTTGGCGGCCGCCAAGGTTTCCAGCACGTCTGCCAAGAGCGCCACCTTGTCCAAGGGCACCGACAGCAAGGTCGGCCATGTAAAGTTGCCTTCGCATTCACCAGCGTTTCCCGATTACATTATTTTCAGCACCCGCTGTAGCAGCCTGCGGGGCCTGGGCGACGGAGTCCAACTGTCGCACTGGCATCCGTTTTGGCACTTGCTCTGACAACTTGGGGCCCGCTGCTGCCGCGTCCCTGCTCCGCAGGCAGCAGCGAGAGCCGCGCCGCGTGGTGCGCCCGCGGCGTCAAGAGGAGGCAGCTCCATGGCGAAGGGCCGAACCACAATCTTGGGCCAGTCCATGGACACGTCAGCGAGCAGCGGCAGCGTCCCCATTGGTAGAAGGCGCATGGCAGCGAGCGTTGGGGGAAGTGCCGTATCTATGATCAGGAGCAGTGGAGGTGGCTCAGACAGCAGCTTCCGCAACAGCACGGAGAGTCTCTTCGACCGTGTTCCCCCATTCAGCGGCAGCGTTACCGATAGGTACGGCCGGCGCAGCATCCCGCTGCCGCCGGGCACTCCTAGCGTACGGACCTCGATGCCGGGCACGGCTCCCTGCTCCGGAGCTAGCACCCCCCGTCAAAACTTTGACGCGCTGGCACGTCTCGAAGAGGTCCAATTCCAGCTAGCGCAGGCCGAGGCAGCTCGGCAGGCATTGGAGTGCCAGTTACAGGTGGGGCATAGGTTGTCTTGCAAGTCATGCACCATGATTCTAGGGGTCGCAGCATGTGCTTGAGAGTTATGCGCGCTAGGCGCAACCCTACGCAGTCCAGTTGTTAAAGAACTTGAGGGTCGCCTCGTTCTTCCTCTTTTGCCTCTGCATAGGCCGCCCAAGACTTGATAATGAGCAAGGACAGCGAACTTGCCACGGCCAACCTGATGCTCCTCGAGTATGAGCGCATGAGCAACTCGGCAGCGCAATGTCAGCAACCCACGGCGTCGCCTCTTCTCCAGCTGTTGCTCCCCACCTCTGCCCATGCTGCCAAGAGCCCTGACGCGACGCCGGCAAACATTGATGGCGATGCCTTATCCTCACGGCGCCGCGATGCAGACTGCGGTGTGGAGGAGAGCTCTCAGGGGAGCTCAATCAATGCTGACTTCAACATCAAGAGCACCCAGATGGACGACATGATAGCGAGGCTGGAGGCGCTGCAGGCTGAGTGCCAGGAGCTTGCCCGCCGTGCAGCCGACCTGGACGAGCAGCGGTTACGGGCTGTCATGGAGGCAGACGACCGGTTGGCTGAGCTACAAGCCACTAAGGAGTACATCTCGGAGCTAGAAGAGGAGGTGGGCTTGCTGCAGGCGATGTCCCTAAAGGCGTCGCAGGAGATGCAGACGAAAGCGCAGGCGGTGCAAGAACAGGAAGCCGAACTGCTAGCGGCTCGCCAGGAGTTAGCGCGAGCACAGGCCAACTACGCAGCGCAGGCCAAGGAGGCGGAGGAGCTATCGCTGAAGCTGTTGGCGGTGCAGCCGCACGGCCCGGGCGTGGGGCTGCATGATGCGAGTTCGGACGTATTGCGGCAGCAACTTGTCGCTGCTGAGGCAGCACTGCACACAGCAAATGATCAGCTGGCTGCACTGCAAGCAGTAGCTGTGCATGCCGAAACCGCTGCTGCAGACCAGCACTGTAAAGCTTCTGAGGAACTCCATGCCCAGGCGGATGCCGTCGAGGTGCTGCAAAAGGAGCTGGAGGCCACGAAAGCGAAACATGCAGAACTTGCGGCGCAGCTTAGGTCCTCTCTTAAAGCCCGGCAGCAGCTTGGCGAACAGATATCGTCGGCCCAATCTGCCCATCATGCCACATCGGAACAACTGATCGCGTCGGAAGCAGCGCGGGCTGAGCTTGTTTCCAAGCTTGCCGCTGCTGATGCCTTGGTGCTTCAGCTTCAGGGGGAGCTCGAGGTTGCGAACGCACGTAAAGCAGACGTAGAGGACAGAATTGCGGCCTTGCGTTCTGACGCCGACCGCCAGCAGCTGATGTCCCTGCTTGAGAGCGCGGAGGCGGAGGCTTGTCGGAGTGCTCAGCGTGGGAAGGCTTTGGAAGAACAGCTTGCAGACCGGGAAGCGGCAGGGCGTGTGTTATCTGATGCCGCCGTTCAAGTCGACATGCTCCAGGCGTTGGAGGAGGTCCAGGTGGGTGGTCTTCATGAAACGGGAATTAGGAGTGAAGGCGAACTTCTTACGTTGGCGTCTAGCAAACGCCCAAGGATAAATGGCTCGCAGCTGTCTGTTAACCCGTACCATAATTCCGTGCAGGCGCGGCTTGCGGCTCTCCGTGCGGAGGCTGATGTTCATGGCGCACGCGTTGCGTTGTTGGAGGACCAGCTTGCTTTAGCCGTCGCAGAGCAAGAAAAGTACATGCTGGAGGCCGCAGCAGCTGTCGCCCACTCGGAAATGCTCGAAGCGGAGCTGCACAATGCCAGAGTGGAGAACGAACATCTCGAGCAGCAGCTTGCAAATCTCCGTGGCGAAGGACTTGCAAAGCCTGAGTGTCAAGGTGTTGCCGCCTCCCGAATTGCCGAGCTGGAATCACAGCTAGCGAACATGTCCCACACGGCTGCGGTGCCGTTAGAGCGCGCTACGGACCGCATCGCAGCATTCATAACGCAATCTACTGGGGCGCGTGCCGAGGCTGCTGAGCGTACTGAGGCCGCCATCGCCAGGTCTGCTGAGCTGGAGCTTCAGTTGGTTGCCTCCCGTGCTGAGACTGCCGAGCGCTCCGAGCGTGCCGCATGCCAGGTTGCCGAGCTTGAGGCGCAGCTTGCGGCGGCGCGTGTCGAGGCTGCTGAGCGTACTGAGGCCGCCGCCGCCAGGTCTGCTGAGCTGGAGCTTCAGTTGGTTGCCTCCCGTGCTGAGACTGCCGAGCGTGCGGCTGCCCTTGCTTCCCAAATCGCGTTGCTGGAGGCGCAGCTTCAATCGTCGCATGCAGAGGCATCACAACGGTCAGAGCACTCACGGAACCTTGCCAAGGAGCTTGAGGCGCAGCTGTCAGCTGCGCGGGCCGGAGTGTCGCAGCAGGCTACTCGGCATAACGCCGTGGTTGCCGAGCTTGAGGCTCAGCTTGCGGCGTCGCGTGCCGAGGCTGCTGAGCGTACAGAGGCTGCCGCCGCCAGGTCTGCTGAGCTGGAGCTTCAGCTGGCCGCCGCCCGAGCTGAGACTGCAGAGCGTTCCGAGCGTGCTGCATGCCAGGTTGCCGAGCTTGAGGCACAGCTTGCGGCGGCGCGTGCCGAGGCAGCTGAGCGTACAGAGGCCGCCGCCGCCAGGTCTGCTGAGCTGGAGCTTCAGCTGGCCGCCGCCCGAGCTGAGACTGCCGAGCGCTCCGAGCGTGCTGCATGCCAGGTTGCCGAGCTTGAGGCGCAGCTTGCGGCGTCGCATGCCGAGGCTGCTGAGCGTACTGAGGCCGCCATCGCCAGGTCTGCTGAGCTGGAGCTTCAGCTGGCCGCCGCCCGAGCTGATACTGCCGAGCGTTCCGAGCGTGCTGCATGCCAGGTTGCCGAGCTTGAGGCTCAGCTTGCGGCGGCGCGTGCCGAGGCTGCCGAGCGTAGTGAGGCCGCCATCGCCAGGTCTGCTGAGCTGGAGCTTCAGCTGGCCGCCGCCCGTGCTGAGACTGCCGAGCGCTCCGAGCGTGCTGCATGCCAGGTTGCCGAGCTTGAGGCGCAGCTTGCGGCGTCGCATGCCGAGGCTGCCGAGCGTAGTGAGGCCGCCATCGCCAGGTCTGCTGAGCTGGAGCTTCAGCTGGCCGCCGCCCGTGCTGAGACTGCCGAGCGTGCGGCTGCCCTTGCTTCCCAAATCGCGTTGCTGGAGGCGCAGCTTCAATCGTCGCATGCAGAGGCATCACAACGGTCAGAGCACTCACGTAATCTTGCCAAGGAGCTTGAGGCGCAGCTGTTAGCTGCGCGGGCCGGAGTGTCGCAGCAGGCTTCTCGGCATAACGCCATGGTTGCCGAGCTTGAGGCGCAGCTTGCGGCGGCGCGTGCCGAGGCTGCTGAGCGTACAGAGGCCGCCGCCGCCAGGTCTGCTGAGCTGGAGCTTCAGCTGGCCGCCGCTCGTGCTGAGACTGCCGAGCGTTCCGAGCGTGCTGCATGCCAGGTTGCCGAGCTTGAGGCGCAGCTTGCGGCGTCGCATGCCGAGGCTGCTGAGCGTACAGAGGCCGCCGTCGCCAGGTCTGCTGAGTTGGAGCTTCAGCTGGCCGCCGCCCGTGCTGAGACTGCCGAGCGCTCCGAGCGTGCTGCATGCCAGGTTGCTGAGCTTGAGGCGCAGCTTGCGGCGGCGCGTGCCGAGGCTGCTGAGCGTACTGAGGCCGCCATCGCCAGGTCTGCTGAGCTGGCGCTTCAGCTGGCCGCCGCCCGTGCTGAGACTGCCGAGCGCTCCGAGCGTGCTGCATGCCAGGTTGCCGAGCTTGAGGCGCAGCTTGCGGCGGCGCGTGTCGAGGCTGCTGAGCGTACTGAGGCCGCCGCCGCCAGGTCTGCTGAGCTGGAGCTTCAGTTGGTTGCCTCCCGTGCTGAGACTGCCGAGCGCTCCGGGCGTGCCGCATGCCAGGTTGCCGAGCTTGAGGCTCAGCTTGCGGCGTCGCGTGCCGAGGCTGCTGAGCGTACAGAGGCCGCCGTCGCCAGGTCTGCTGAGTTGGAGCTTCAGCTGGCCGCCGCCCGAGCTGAGACTGCCGAGCGTTCCGAGCGTGCTGCATGCCAGGTTGCCGAGCTTGAGGCGCAGCTTGCGGCGGCGCGTGCCGAGGCTGCTGAGCGTACAGAGGCCGCCGCCGCCAGGTCTGCTGAGCTGGAGCTTCAGCTGGCCGCCGCTCGTGCTGAGACTGCCGAGCGCTCCGAGCGTGCTGCATGCCAGGTTGCGGAGCTTGAGGCGCAGCTTGCGGCGTCGCGTGCCGAGGCTGCCGAGCGTAGTGAGGCCGCCATCGCCAGGTCTGCTGAGCTGGAGCTTCAGCTGGCCGCCGCCCGTGCTGAGACTGCCGAGCGTGCGGCTGCCCTTGCTTCCCAAATCGCGTTGCTGGAGGCGCAGCTTCAATCGTCGCATGCAGAGGCATCACAACGGTCAGAGCACTCACGGAATCTTGCCAAGGAGCTTGAGGCGCAGCTGTCAGCTGCGCGGGCCGGAGTGTCGCAGCAGGCTACTCGGCATAACGCCGTGGTTGCCGAGCTTGAGGCTCAGCTTGCGGCGTCGCGTGCCGAGGCTGCTGAGCGTACAGAGGCCGCCGCCGCCAGGTCTGCTGAGCTGGAGCTTCAGCTGGCCGCCGCCCGAGCTGAGACTGCAGAGCGTTCCGAGCGTGCTGCATGCCAGGTTGCCGAGCTTGAGGCGCAGCTTGCGGCGGCGCGTGCCGAGGCTGCTGAGCGTACAGAGGCCGCCGCCGCCAGGTCTGCTGAGCTGGAGCTTCAGCTGGCCGCCGCTCGTGCTGAGACTGCCGAGCGCTCCGAGCGTGCTGCATGCCAGGTTGCGGAGCTTGAGGCGCAGCTTGCGGCGTCGCGTGCCGAGGCTGCCGAGCGTACTGAGGCCGCCATCGCCAGGTCTGCTGAGCTGGAGCTTCAGCTGGCCGCCGCCCGTGCTGATACTGCCGAGCGTTCCGAGCGTGCTGCATGCCAGGTTGCCGAGCTTGAGGCGCAGCTTGCGGCGGCGCGTGTCGAAGCTGCTGAGCGTACTAAGGCCGCCGCCGCCAGGTCTGCTGAGCTGGAGCATCAGTTGGTTGCCTCCCGTGCTGAGACTGCCGAGCGTGCGGCTGCCCTTGCTTCCCAAATCGCGTTGCTGGAGGCGCAGCTTCAATCGTCGCATGCAGAGGCATCACAACGGTCAGAGCACTCACGGAATCTTGCCAAGGAGCTTGAGGCGCAGCTGTCAGCTGCGCGGGCCGGAGTGTCGCAGCAGGCTTCTCGGCATAACGCCATGGTTGCCGAGCTTGAGGCTCAGCTTGCGGCGTCGCGTGCCGAGGCTGCTGAGCGTACAGAGGCCGCCGCCGCCAGGTCTGCTGAGCTGGAGCTTCAGCTGGCCGCCGCCCGAGCTGAGACTGCAGAGCGTTCCGAGCGTGCTGCATGCCAGGTTGCCGAGCTTGAGGCACAGCTTGCGGCGGCGCGTGCCGAGGCTGCTGAGCGTACAGAGGCCGCCGCCGCCAGGTCTGCTGAGCTGGAGCTTCAGCTGGCCGCCGCCCGAGCTGAGACTGCCGAGCGCTCCGAGCGTGCTGCATGCCAGGTTGCCGAGCTTGAGGCGCAGCTTGCGGCGTCGCATGCCGAGGCTGCTGAGCGTACTGAGGCCGCCATCGCCAGGTCTGCTGAGCTGGAGCTTCAGCTGGCCGCCGCCCGAGCTGATACTGCCGAGCGTTCCGAGCGTGCTGCATGCCAGGTTGCCGAGCTTGAGGCTCAGCTTGCGGCGGCGCGTGCCGAGGCTGCCGAGCGTAGTGAGGCCGCCATCGCCAGGTCTGCTGAGCTGGAGCTTCAGCTGGCCGCCGCCCGTGCTGAGACTGCCGAGCGCTCCGAGCGTGCTGCATGCCAGGTTGCCGAGCTTGAGGCGCAGCTTGCGGCGTCGCATGCCGAGGCTGCCGAGCGTAGTGAGGCCGCCATCGCCAGGTCTGCTGAGCTGGAGCTTCAGCTGGCCGCCGCCCGTGCTGAGACTGCCGAGCGTGCGGCTGCCCTTGCTTCCCAAATCGCGTTGCTGGAGGCGCAGCTTCAATCGTCGCATGCAGAGGCATCACAACGGTCAGAGCACTCACGGAATCTTGCCAAGGAGCTTGAGGCGCAGCTGTTAGCTGCGCGGGCCGGAGTGTCGCAGCAGGCTTCTCGGCATAACGCCATGGTTGCCGAGCTTGAGGCGCAGCTTGCGGCGGCGCGTGCCGAGGCTGCTGAGCGTACAGAGGCCGCCGCCGCCAGGTCTGCTGAGCTGGAGCTTCAGCTGGCCGCCGCTCGTGCTGAGACTGCCGAGCGTTCCGAGCGTGCTGCATGCCAGGTTGCCGAGCTTGAGGCGCAGCTTGCGGCGTCGCATGCCGAGGCTGCTGAGCGTACAGAGGCCGCCGTCGCCAGGTCTGCTGAGTTGGAGCTTCAGCTGGCCGCCGCCCGTGCTGAGACTGCCGAGCGCTCCGAGCGTGCTGCATGCCAGGTTGCTGAGCTTGAGGCGCAGCTTGCGGCGGCGCGTGCCGAGGCTGCTGAGCGTACTGAGGCCGCCATCGCCAGGTCTGCTGAGCTGGCGCTTCAGCTGGCCGCCGCCCGTGCTGAGACTGCCGAGCGCTCCGAGCGTGCTGCATGCCAGGTTGCCGAGCTTGAGGCGCAGCTTGCGGCGGCGCGTGTCGAGGCTGCTGAGCGTACTGAGGCCGCCGCCGCCAGGTCTGCTGAGCTGGAGCTTCAGTTGGTTGCCTCCCGTGCTGAGACTGCCGAGCGCTCCGGGCGTGCCGCATGCCAGGTTGCCGAGCTTGAGGCTCAGCTTGCGGCGTCGCGTGCCGAGGCTGCTGAGCGTACAGAGGCCGCCGTCGCCAGGTCTGCTGAGTTGGAGCTTCAGCTGGCCGCCGCCCGAGCTGAGACTGCCGAGCGTTCCGAGCGTGCTGCATGCCAGGTTGCCGAGCTTGAGGCGCAGCTTGCGGCGGCGCGTGCCGAGGCTGCTGAGCGTAC